TCTCATACTATTGATTTTATTTAGTTTTCTTTGATCAGTTAATGTGCATACAGCATACAAGCTCTTAAGTGATGAATGTTGTTATTTCTGGAGGTTACAAATATACAGACAGAGTATAGACATTTTAGCTAAGTTTCTAACATTTAAGAGGCATTTTCTGGCAGGCTCTGAAAATGTACATACCTGTAGCAAGAACTGTGTGATTTGCAGTTAGACCTTGCATTGGGCCATGTGGGCACTAAGCAAAGTTCTGTTGTAAAATAATGTATTAATACACAAACATGCTGAAAGTTAATGATTCACAGTAACATTTTGCCTTTTGAAGTGCACAGCTAGCCCAAACTGAAGATGGTGAGAGCCAGCCGGACAGAATATGGCATAAATTATTTATTTTAAAATATTAATAGTGCATTTTTAAATACTAAACACACACATTTTTTAACTAAAGAGTATTAAATAACACACAACTATAGTAAACCAGTGTACAACAAGTAAAATGCCTGGATTATTTTATTGCTATCTAGCTGTTCATCATGAACTCAAATACCTTTTACCTTAGGAGCTACAGCTTCCCTAGTTTTATTTGCTGAAAAGAAGTGTTTTTTTCTCTCCAAAGTCAGTAACTGCATACAGTATTTAAAAAATCTGAATTTATAGTGAACTTGGAATCATAGAATCACAGAAAATTAGACTTGGAAGGGATCTCAGGAGGTCATCTAGTCCAACCCCCTGCCCATAGCAGGACCAGCCCCAGCTAGATCACTGGGCTTTGTCTAGCCGGGCCTCAAAACCCTCCAAGGAAGGAGATTCCACCACTTCTCTAGTCTAGGTAACCTGTTCCAGTGCTTCGCCACCTTCCTAGTGAGAAAATTCTTCCTAAGATCTAACCTAAACTTTCCTTGCTGCAACTTGAGACCATTGTGCCTGTTCTGTCTTCTGCCACCACTGAGAATAATCTATCTCCATCTTCTTTGGAACCCCCTTCAGGTAGTTAAAGGCTGTTATCCAGTCCCTCCTCAGTCTAATTTTCTTCAGACTAAATAAGTCCAATTCCCTCAACCTCTCCTCATAAATCATGTGCCCCAGCCCCCGAGCCATTTGGAGAGTTGGACTCTCTCCAACTTGTCCACATCCTTTCTGTAGTGGGGGGCCCAAAACTGAACATAGTACTTCAGATGTGGCCTCACTGGTGCAGAATACAGCAGCAGTAATGATCTGCTGGTAATGCTCCTATTAATACTGCCCAGTATGCTGTTAGCCTTCTTGGCAGCAAGGGCACGGTGCTGACTCATATCCATCTTATTGTCCACTGTAACTCCCAGGTCCTTTTCTGCAGAGCTGCTGCTTAGCCAGTCAGCCCCCAGGCTGTACTGGTTCAAGTCCCCAGGCTGTAGCAGTGCAATATCAGACTACACATGTATGGGCTGATAAGCTAGGTCTCTTTTTTTTGGTCAAATGTAATTGGAAAAGAAAATTTAAGAATATTCTAAACTATTTTCCAGTCCATATTTTGTAAATGAATGTGCCACATCAACTCAAGAGCCATATTGGTTATGTATCTATAATACGGGTGCTAATTGAAGGAATGGACTTGGAACTTATACTGCCAAGTCATCTTTGAAGGCCCAGGGTAAAATCTTGCCCTATTGAAGTTTTAGGGGGCAGTATTTCAGGTATATTGTTAGTAACTTATTTGTTTTTGTGCCAGGGTAGCATTAGTTAGGAACTTTATATAATATCTCTGTTATCTAATGCCAGGATGGTAGAAAATACTGATCAAGATACTCTGCAAGTGTGATACAATGTGGCTATTTTAAAAGTGACCAGTACAGTATGTAGGCCTCTGCACTTGCTTGCACTTCACTTGCTGTGAAGCTGTTGAAAGCCTGGAGGCTTCCTTGGCATTTTTCGTGGCTAACACAAATTCTGGAACAGTGTTTTCTGTGTGCTGAAGGGAACTAATATGGCTGGGCTTCATCTACAAAAATGGGTTAACAAAGGTAGAAGATAAAATTGTCCAGAGAAATATATAATAGAATTAATTGGATAAAATTTAAGGGAAAATTTAGACTAAACATCGAGGGGAAAAAATCTTGAAAGTTAGATATGCCATGGAAAAATCTACCAAGGGAAGTGGTATTGTTTTAGACTTTTGACATTGTTCCTTGTGTTTTTGCCTGTACAAGTGTGTTTAGACAGTGTTTGACTGGGTGATTAGAATGAGCCCTTTCATTTCTAACAGTATGATTCTGATTACATATGTAATCCTAACAAATACTTAGATTAGTAATGTATAGCTCTGCTCTTTCTGAACAAGCTATGTCCAGAAGTTATTAGAAGACCAACTTTCTTAAAATAGCAGATTAAAATGTTCAAATTCAGATGCTGAAATTAGTCATCTAGAAATGTATTTAAGCCCCTTAATAAGGGTGACAAGTACATTTCACTTTGCTTGCACAATAACATAAAATGCTAAAATACTGTCAGGATTGGTATAGTTGTTTATGGGGAAGTTAAGTTAATGTCAAGAGTTTAATTTATTGCAAACAGATACAACTCATAGTCTTGCCCAGTCTTGTGATTTGGATTAGATCCCAGTCACCCCATAACTATTTGCCTGTGATCCCAGGCTCCCCCTGCACCAGCAAATTGAAAGCTGCTGGGTTCCTGGTGCAGTCCTGGGTCTGGGACTGACAATCAGTTTCACCAGAACTAGATTGAGACTTCAGTGGGGTCCCAAGCTCAGTTACACATGCATCTTTTTTTTTTTTTAAGACCCTGGTGCACTGGGGTCTGGGAGAGGTTCCCAGATCCTGGGGTCCCCATTCACTGAGGATATCAAAAATTTCATGTGCAGCCAGGCTTCACACATGTGTTTTAAAGGTCCTGGTGCATGGGGACCCTGGGATCAGGGAACTTTTTCCCATCCCAGGGAATCTCTCATGTTGCTGGGATGTATCATGTGTCTTGCTCAGGACAATGCAGTCAACCTGCCAGGTTGCATGCAGCCCCACAGCTTCCCATGACCCAGCATCCCTGACCCCAGTGCTGAACTCCCCTGACTTGGTACCTCAAAAATAGTGGGGTACAGCCCCATGCAGGGCTGCACTGCATAGCCGTTAGTCTGCTGACATGGGGGGAATGGCAATGAAGCCCCGTAATGCATCTGCCGTCAGGGTGCATAGTGGGACCCTGCCACGTGTTCAATTTAAAGTGCGATGAAAACCAGCCACAAAGTTGTTACACATTTTGTGGAATAATTTTGTGGCTTGTTTCCTGTTTTGCCTCACCACTAATTGCCTGAACTTGTACCTAGGTTACTATTTAAGATGTGATTAACATCAACCAGAGGCCTTGATCACACATAAAAAATTATGCAAAACAAAATCATTTATTTTAAAACTAAGTTTCTACCCATCTTGGTTTTAAAGAAAAGCTTGAATATATGATCTAATTGCACAATAAAGCTAAAAAACCCACAAGGTTTTAAATTTTAAATTATCCTTATGATTTTTAACCCAGTTGCATGATTTTGGGGAGTTCTGACTGACTCATTCATGGCTTTTAACATTTAGGGTTGGCAACTTCAGGTCTGGGCTAAGCTTTTAAGGTTCATGCTGGTTTCATCTTTCCTTATACATATTGCCTTGTAGTTTGTAAAATACATACTCTGCATATATAATATGTTTCTAATTTTGCAAGCATGTGCAGTACATGCCAGTATACTCTCACTGAGATCAAAGTTGAGCTTTTGGCTTGTGACAGGGATAGACTTCAGTCTTTGTTATGAGAGCTTTCAGAGCTGATTATTTGTCAAGATGATAGCAACAGTAACAGAGATAGCAAGTCACTGATAATATATTGTTATATACCGCTTCATTAGCAAAAGAAAACAAACAAAACCCCTCTTTACTGTAGCATACTGTGATCATCATGCTAATTTAATGATATACATAGTCATTTTTAAATATTCCCTGTACAAGATTTCATTGAAGAAACACTTCATTGATATAGAGAGGTTAATATTTTAGTCTTTGCTTCTTTCTAGTAAACAGGAATGAATGATTAGATATTAACACAGGAAAATATTAAGTGCCATGTTCCAGTTGTCTAGTTTCATAATGTTACAGGAAAAAATGGTGAACAGTGAGGAACAAAATGTTTTGTTTAGTTGAGACAAGAGAAGACTGGGAGCAATTTTAAAGGGACATAAAACCAGGTGAAAGGTTAGCACAATAACATAAAATTCAATGCTGACAAATTCGAGTTTTAACATATGCTTGAAGGAATAGTTCAATTTTTAATAACACGGCAGAGTTCTGTTTACTGTTCCTTATAATACCAGAGGAGAAAGGCATTCAGTGATATAGAAAGATAACAGATTTCAAGGGGTTGTTTATGCAGTATGTAATTAACCTGCAGAACTCATTGCCACAAGAAGGGCATAAAATTCTAAAAAGGATTTAATATTCATATGAATAACAAGAATTCACAGATATCTTAGTTAAGCTATATATGGAGAACACTAACTGCTAGGGCAAAGAGAAAAAAAAACTCCCATGAGAAAAGATTAGACAAGGAATTTGAAGACATTTGCTAAAAATGATAGTCCTAGCATGACAAAGATGTATGTCTGTGTATATAAATACAATTAAAATGTTATTTTTTCTAAATTAAAATAAAAAAGAATGCAAAAAATTTATATTTGTCTGTGCACATGCCTATATTTAAAGGTTTTTTTAAATTTTTTTAAAAGGGGCCTAGTCTCTTTGAAATCAAATAGTTGGGAAATATCTGTTTTTGAATTCAGTGTGCCAGCCATGAAGAGGTAAATGGGTAAACTGGTATTATTTAGTGTTAATAATTTGACAATTGATTTTCCAATTTATTCCAGAACATACTGTATTCCTGTTTCCATTAAACGCAAATTGAATTTTCTCATTATGAGTTAAATATTTTGTGACCATTAACAGATGCTTTTTATGTTTTCCTTTTTTCAGTTTAAAAGAATGCTCAACCGGGAGCTAACCCACTTATCTGAAATGAGCCGGTCTGGCAATCAGGTCTCGGAATATATATCTAGCACATTTTTAGGTAAGACCACAATGGAAGTGAATATCTTTAAGGTGTTGCTTTTGTTGCTTGTTTTGCATGCATGCTTTTTCCCCAGTGCTGGGATATGGATTAAACTACATACCATTTCCTTTTGTTTTCTCTTTTTAGAAGTGAGTGCATTTTATAACTGCACTGTCCAGTATTTGGTGGCAAGAAAAATTGATTAAATTAGTTTGCAGCTCTTTATCTTGCTTCCCTGTACACATTATTCCACATACACATTTTGTGTTCCTATTTTTCTCAGAATGTTACAATGTATTTAACAAAGTATTCTTGTTAAAGACCTTTATATATGTATTTCCACCCAGTATTATGGTTAACATGGAGTAATCTTGCAGGCTGTTTATAGAAGAACAGGAATGATTCATTATGCATTTTTTGATATATTTAAACATTATCTTTGCAACATTTTACCAGTCTGCCCAATAGGGAAGTATGCAGTCATACTGTAAAGGTTTCTTGGCCTGATGAAAGCATATAACTATGCTTTCTATGCTCACTTGAATCCCAGTATGCAGTGGTGGTCCATTGGCACTCCCTGTCTGGAGATGGAAGGGTGATCAACTTGAGTCAGTCAGTGTCTGAACAGATTGCTGCTAGGAAAGTGTATTCAAGCACAGAGCTTGTAGGAGGGCAGGAACTTGAAAACACTGACCCCATATCAGTAGGGGTAAAGATGTCCATAGAATAGGTCTCTAAAGTCCTATCTGCTTAGTTTTGTGGGGAAAAATGGAAAATGCTTTTTATATCCAAATAAATAAAAACAATGCTCTGTACACACAGACATTGAAGATGGTTAGGTAATCAATATGCTGATTTAAAATGTGATTTGCAGGCACACAATTTAAGATTGCGTTGGCCCCTATATTCACACATGTCTGTGTAGATCAGGGGCTGGAAACCTTTTCAGGCTGCAAGCCAGAACAACCCAGCTGTAGTTCAGTTAAGCTTTGGCAGGTTTGCTTAGTTCAGGGTAGCTTTGGCAGGTTTGCATGCATCTGTTCCAGGCCAGGCTGCTAGGAGCTAAGCTGGCATCACTTTCCTGAACCTCCTAGAGCTAGGGACAGACATTCAAAAAGCCTGAGCCTGAATTGATTCAATCTTTGCAAGTTAGTCTAGCCTGGCTAGGCTGAACCAGTTTGTAACTGCACAGACATTCCTCCTGGACTGAAAAAATGCAGGCACATGCCTACAGTGGCTCAAGCAAGAAGCCAGGAGGTGCTAGAGCAGCCCTTCCACATTTCCAAGCTGAAGGGGAACATGGCCAGGCCCCAGAAGGATGCGCTGATTAGGGAGGGGTGTAAACTCCAACCCTGCCTGCACCATCCTAGGCTTTTCCCCTCTCCCTCCTCAAGGGGCAAGAGTGTTGCCAGGCCACAGCCCTGGGCTAGCACCCTGAAGCAAAAGGGTTGTGTGCAGTGCATGCATCTCTTGATGATATGAAGCTTTTAAATTGACAGGCAAGCAAGCCAGAAGGATTTATCAGTGTTTATCAGCAGTGTTTATCAGTCCGTCAAGAAAGCAAAAGCCTCTCTCAGTAGTTTAAGCACTTCTTAAATAGCTTTTTCAAAGGAAGGAATGGAGGGATGTTACCATCTGACCTGTTGATTAGTTTAAAAAACCATAAGCCGACACTATTCTGTCTGCCCGTCCCAGTGAAATTGCGCATGCGCACACACATACGCTCTCTCTCTCAGCATTAGCTAGCATACCACATGCCGGGGTCCATGCTGTGGGAGATGAGAGGGAGGGAGGGGGGATCCCTGCTTGAGCAGTGAGGGGGAGGTGGGGCAGGGGAAAGCCAGGCAGACCCTGCTGTACCTGCAGTCTCCACTGGAGCTCTGGCCAGGGAGCAGGTGGGCAGGGCCAGCTCTGCTCTTTGGAGCAGACAGCCCCACCCAGAGCTGCAAAGCATCTGGGATGCTGGGGAACTCGTTTAACATAAACCAGGAGCTTCTAGGCAGAGGTGAGCTCCACCATGGCCAGGCAGCTGGAAACTGTGCTCAGGCTGTTAAAGCCACTTTTCCTCAGCACTCTGTTCCTCAGCTGCAGGGGGGGCACAGCTTCCAGTGAGTGGGGAGCTATGCTGGGTGCAGGCAGATGGAAGCTGTATTTTCATTGCTCTTGTTTGCCCCCCATGTTCCTGCCTGTCATGCAGGCACAGCTAGAAGCTGCCCAGCCCCCACTTGGTTCCCCACCAGCTGGGAGCTATGTCTATGCTACAACTGGGGAGTGGGGGGCAGGAAAAAGCAGAAGTGTTGTTGGCACAGCTTCCAGCAGTGTGGCTCCAGCTTTGCACTTCACTGCCTAGCCCCAGTATGGGTGCAGAGACAAAGCCTTCCAGCTCTGTAGCCAGCTCCAGTGGCTCCACAGGCTGATCTGGCCTATGAGCCATATGTTACTGACCCTGTGTCTAGATTAGGAGACCAAGCCTTTTTTTTTTTTTTTAAAGATATGTTAAAATAAAATTTGTCTGGTATTCACCAACTTTTGCACTGTTTGCTACCATGTTTCTTTAAAATCAGTTTTATCCTACTTTCTTTAATTACTTCAGATGGTGTCTATTTAATTTACCCAGTGTTTCAGTAGAATGTGAGAGAATCGTCTGTACCACTGAATTTCATGCACCCAACAGAAAGTTTTCATTCTGTATTAGAGATGAAGCTCAGGATCATTTAAGATCTCAGGATAAGATTGCCTGAGGAGATGACCCACTTAGAAAAGCCTCTCGCATCCCTTGACTAACAAGACTGAGATATTGACATCTTTGCAGGCTTTCACTTAAAACCTTAAGACTCATTTTGACAGAAAGAAGGACATGTAGCTCTCTGTCTTTCACATGTAACCTCCATGCTGCAAGCAGAAAAAGCTCTGGAGAAACAAACTCTTAGAATCTGTTGAGCCTGAATGTTGTCTTTCTGTGGTTGCAATCAAATGAAAAAAGCAATATATTATAGAGGAAATACAAATGTGACATTACAACAGACAGAAATACTGTAATTATTGAACTGTGCCTTAAATGTAATATATTAATAATGTATTATTTCTATTGTAATAATTTCTATTTCTACAAATTTAGAAACAGAATATGTGGAAGGGAAATATTTTTTAACTGAAAATGTAAATCATTCTGTTTCTTATTAACCGGCTCTGGCTGTTTTTTTCCCTGTATTCAATATTCAGCTTATCTGCTGAGCCTTTATAGCCCTGCCAACACTTGAAAGCTAGGAATAGTCCATGAGAAAAATTGGGATTTTGCTTAAAAGCACAGTCCATTTGTCCTAAAAGAAACACATAGCATATATGCAATTTTCAGTAATAACAGGATATTTATAGGAAAATTAGGATAGAATCTATCAACCGGTTTGATTTGTGGCTGCATATTTCTCCAGTGCTATATGGAGAAATACCACTAACAATACCAATACATTAAATGATCTTGCTTTAAACACAAAAGGGTCCAGGACTTGCAGCTTAGGCTGTTTAAGAAAACATCAGGAAATCCCACGGAATTCCATAGCAAATCTAAAATCTTTCAGACAGACACTTCCTTTCACTTGAGTTCATCTGACAGTTCAGTTTATAGTCCACCCCTTTGATGGATCTAAAATTTGTGCATATGACTGAAACTATAAACATCAAGACATGCACACGAGTCACTGCTCTTCATCTGTTGTCAGTTTTCACCAGTCCAGAACTTAAATGCCCTTTCCCCCTGCCTTCTTTCCCCCCCTCCCCACCCTTTTTTTTGATTGGTCCCATGAGAAGAGTGAAGAACAGTGAGGGGAATGAGAGAACTCAGTGCTCCAGGCTCAAACTTGATGACATTTTTACATTGTCCTTTGCTGTGATCTAACAGGAATTCTCCATATATTTCTGTAAGTGCAGGCACCTGAAAGGTAAACATCCAGAAAGTTGCAGAGGCAAGCAGTAATCTGAAAATACAGTTGCTGTCCCCATGCAGTTTCACTTTATCCATTAAAGATGAATGGTGCAAGAGGAGGGAAGTTTATACTTTATTTTTTTTATAAAGGCCTCATTCATCTCTGTTCTGCTTGTTTTCAAGCAGTTTTAAGTTTTTTCCCATGCTTTTCTATATTAAAAATATCAGTCCTGACTTCCCTAGTTTTGCCAGAGGTCTCCTTGGAGAACCATACTGTAGTTTTCATCACAAAACATGAACTAGAAAAATTAAGCGTGAGATGATTATTTTAGTTTGAATGTTTAAAATTTTTTACACACCACTTTTAAAAAGAACATTTGAAAAAAGCTGTGTTTCAAATTAATGACAAACATTTGGAAGAAAAACTTTCTATTGCAAAAGACTGCATGCATGCATATGCACACAAATCTTGTTTTTTCATCTGAGGGATAAAAAAAGGTTACATTCAGCTCATCAGTCCTTTGCCAATTAAAGAATCCTTTTTCAAAAATGGGAAAATAGTGACTTGCTTCTCTTACTATTTCTCAGTTGTTAAAAAGGAAAGCCCTCACTTCCTTTTATACTTCATGGGGAAGCAAAAAAGAAACTTTTTCTGTCCTTTGCAGACACTTGCAAGTCACGTTTAGGCTGACTTTAGAATCTGTTGCATTTAAGAATATCCTACTGCTACATAGAATAAGGGAAAGGGATTTCTAAGTGTGAGGAAGGCCAGAGATACCACTTTATATAAAGTTCTACCGATTAGAAAAATATAGGTTTAGTATTCACCTTCACCAGACTTTGTTGTTTTCCATCTGCTTGTATTTGTTAAAATGGAAGCAGTTGAAGGGACCCATTTCCAAGTGAATTGAACATGATCAAATCCAGACTCAAAAGGTGCTGCTTCTTATTTATGATAGACACTTTTTATCATTCTTACAGTGTAAAAGGACCTTAAAGTGGATTCAAGTGTAATATACCCCCATTTTAAGCCCTTTTTGCTCCAGCAGTGCAGCATGAAGTCACATCAGCCTTGGTCCACACTAAAAAAAAGTTTTTTCTGACACAGTTCTTTTGATTAGGAGTGTGAAAAAAAAACAAAAAACAGCACCCCTAACCAACATTGCTATCCTGGCAACAGCTCCTATGTAAGTGTAGTTATAATAGTATAAGTTTGTTTCTTCTGTATAGCTTATTTTGTTTAGGAATGGGCATAAGTTATAGTGTCAGAACAACTTTCTCTGCTATAAACTATGTCTCCCTTAGGTGGATTTACATTTATGGCATGAGCTTTCTAGCATAGAAAACCTTAGTATACATGAGAATCAAAATCCAAGTCTTAAGGCCTAGAAAACATAATAAAAAGTTGGGAAAAAAATATTGTTTTTGCCTTTTTAAACAAAATTGCCAGTTCCAGTTCAAAAGTTTAAATCTTTGGGAATTTTCCATGCTATGGGAATTCCTCTAGTACTTTTATTTTCATAGAAAAGACTACATCCATACAAATTACTAGCGAGAGAGGCACAGCCACAAATTACTCTCAAAGCCAATTCAGAAAGAATAGAACAATGTTGGGAATAAAGCTGTGCCTCCTTCTATCTCTGTTGGTCTCTATTCTACTTAATTGCTTTGGGTTATTTTTAGTGAGCAATAATTGGGAATGTGGCTCATCTGTAGCAGGATCTCCATAGTTTAGTTTAGAAAATAGTATTTTCTGGAAGTCTTGCAATGTGCATAAATAAATCTTAACACTGAAGTGGATGAAATATTCTTTTTAATCAGTATGGAAAATGATCTTCAGTCTTGTTTTCTCTCTCTTCTTTACAGACAAGCAACATGAAGTGGAAATACCTTCTCCAACACAGAAAGAGAAAGAGAAAAAGAAGAGACCGATGTCCCAGATCAGTGGAGTAAAAAAACTGATGCATAGCTCCAGTTTAACTAATTCTAGTATCCCCAGATTTGGAGTTAAAACTGATCAAGAAGACGGTCTTGCCAAGGTGAGGAATGTTTCATGTCTTAACCTGTTGTCTAACACAGCCCCAGCACCCTATCATGCTATTTTAATAAAGGTTAGTGATAGACAAATGGTTTCTAGGGTATTATTCCATACTCTTTATACAGCCATTGATTTCAAGTTCTATCATCAGATGCTGATTTCACCGAGATTTCTGTAAATCATATCCAGTGAAAAAATAAGTGAAGTAAGAATCAGGCTATTAATGTGTAATAAAACTCCACCAACAGGATTTCAGTGGGAGGTTTTTTTTTAGCTAAAGAGTTTGTAATGTAAAGTAAGCTAACATTGTGCATGTATTATTGAGGTATGTATGCATCAATAATATCAGCAGAATTGAAAGCAAACATTTATTATAACAGATACTATGAGAGGAATCGAAATACGTAGCAGCAGCATCAGTTTGAAATGACACAACTGCATCTGGCATTGGATCCCTCCTTGTAAGTCCTTTCTGCAGTTGCATCATTTCATTTTGTACATCAGTTGCCCTCATCTTTTAAAAGTAAAATTTCCCGGGATATTGGGTCACATAGTAAAGTTACCCTGTCAGTAATATAACAATTGGTGCACGATTTAATTCTTCATTCACTTTTGGATTTACACATTTTTAAATCTGTTTAATTTTATGCTTTCAGGACACCTCCCCTCCCCCACTTTATTTAAACATTTTTCTGAGAATAAACACAATAAGTGAGAGAGCAGTAGACCTTTAGCATCTCTGGAGGTTTTCTTCTAACTGCCCTTTTCCCTTTTTCCCTTATTGGGCAGTGAAGTAGCAAAATGTGTCAGTTCAGCTCATTCAAGATGCTGTAGCATTTCTCCCTCTAGAGCAATCCACTTAAAAGAGAGACTCTTGCCACCTAGTGAGTTATAATCTGGAAAGCTGGTAGCTGCAAATTCAAATATTAATGAGGTTAGTGGTAGAAGTATTTACCCTTTCAGAACATTTAACATTATTTTCACAGTGGCTCAACCAGGTTGCTAGCTCAAATCTGTGTGAGTCTGTTGTTGTAGTTATTTTAGTCAGAAATAATTGGGAATTGTAGTAGTAGATTTATGAGTTTCTGTTGCCTGATTTTCTTCTAGGAACTAGAAGATGTGAACAAGTGGGGCCTTCATGTTTTCAGAATAGCAGAATTATCTGGGAACCGACCTCTGACTGTCATCATGCACACCATTTTTCAGGTAGGCAAGATGAAAGTGGGCCCTAATGGTCTTTACCTATCCCAGCAATCATTATGTGCCATATAAACGTGATTGTTTTCTCTTTCTTCCTCCAGGAACGAGATTTGTTAAAAACATTTAAAATTCCAGTAGATACTTTAATAACATACTTAATGACCCTGGAAGATCATTATCATGCAGATGTTGCATATCACAATAACATACATGCTGCAGATGTTGTTCAGTCTACGCACGTGCTGCTATCAACCCCAGCTCTAGAGGTAAATGCACATGTAGATGAAGGAGTACGGGAAGGAGGGTAACACACACACACACACGCACATTTGCAAAATATCAGAAACTTTTTAAGCTAAATGTAAATAACTCCAATATCTGCAATCCTGTTGCCTTTTTTGATAATAGAAATTCTTGAAATTTCAGTCTTGAAACATACTTGTCTAAAGGCATTTAGTATAGACCCATGTTTGTTTACTTTTATATATGATGTGAAATGCCACAGGACCTTTTTTTTTAAAACCACTGTCGTGTTTGGTGACAAATACTATCCATCCACTGCTACCATAATTATGTAAACTGTTTCCATCATCTGCTTAGTATCTACAGGTCATGTCTAGGGACCTACATAACTTGCTGCAAGAGAGAGCAATTTTTACCGCCCACAGAATCAATTTCATGGTCATTTCATGGCAGTCCTGCTCCTCAATACTGATTGGCAGAGAGGCCCCACCCCTCGGTCCTGATTTGGTAGAGGGGTCCCAGGGGGAGGAGGGACAAGGGGGCAGCTGCTGTCTTGACTGCTGGCTGCCCTTTGTGTGGCCCTGCCCCTCAGCTGCCATCTTGGCTCCTGCCATTTATGCTGTGCTGCCAGCCAGTGCCTTCTCCTCCTGGGCAGGCTGCAAGGCCAGGCTGCAGCAGTAGCAAGGACTGCTGGCTTCCACCAGGAAGCCAGAATTTTATTTTTATTAATTTTTTTTGGTTAATTTCTTGGAAAATCACAATTTAAGTAAGTACCTGGCCATATCCCGTCACCATTTACCATGTGGCACTCTCAGTTAGACCAGTAGGAATTATGCCGGGAAGGTGCTGGCAGGATGTGATTTTTTTTTTTTTTTTTTTTTTTCCTTGAGCATGAATGAAATACAGCATATTTTATGTCAGAAATGACTGTTTTGGTATTTTTCTGCTTCTTTAACCTCTAGTTCTGTAAGCTGAGTTCACCATACAAATATTAAAATTGTCAGGAAGCACAAAACTTATATTACATTCTTAGTGCAGTGGCGCACAACCATTTTTCCCTGGTGGGCTGAATGGGCAGTGCCTGGTCCAACTGCACCCTAGATGGTGGTTCTGATCCAGCATCCAGGATCAGGACAGTGGGCACAATCTGGCCATATGGAGAGGCAGGCTGGCCCGAGCCTGGACCCACAGTGAGGAAGAGGGCATGTCCTGGCTCCAACCTGGCCCAGCATGGGGGAAGGGAGCATGGTCCATCTGCAAATCAGCCCCATGGTGGAAAAAGGGGTGTGGGTGGGGCCCAGGGAGGGAAGGGGGCCCAGCCTGGCTTTGACTGGCTCGCAGAGCTTGGGGTTGGGAATCTGGCAGGGGGAAGGTATTCCATATAAATGGCCATTGCTCCCCCTCCACCAAATTTCCTGATCCATGGTGAGCTGTGCATGGAGTTTTCTAGCAGGGAGCTTTCCCATGGAGGCCAGGTGCTGTGCCTTCACAGGCTGCAATTGGCCTGCAGGCGAGAGGGTGAGCACCCCTGTTCATAATGGATTTGTCTTGTTTTTCAAAAAAAAAATTAAATGCAGATGTTTTTAATTTAATTAATGCTTTTTACATGAGGTGTTTAAAGAGCTAACACATGTAAGGTAAAAGGAAGCTCACAAAAGGTTTGAATCTCTTTCCACTTCTATTATTAGGCTCTAATGGAGCATTATTCCAGGCTTATTTTAGCAAGCCTATGCATTCTCTAGTAGAGTGTTGAGAACAAATTCACTGCTGATGTAAACGGGTGAAATGATAGTGACTCAGAAGGATTTGCATTCACTTGCATCTATTTGCATTTTGGCCTTTGTCTCATGGGGTCCAATAAGTCCCTGTACACATGTGGGGACACTGTAATTACAGCACGTCAGAGCAGACTCGATTAATCAAGTCTGTTGGAGCATGCTAATTAGCATGCTCCAGCAGCTTCCACATCTTATGTATTCAGCATCTCTGTGTTTCAAAATGGCAGCGATGAACAAGCTTTAGTTAAAGTGCCCCCAATGCCATTTTGAAGCGTGGGACACTGAATACACAAGACACTGTAGGCACTTCAATTAGAGTGGCTCTCAGAGACTTGCTCTTCCCCCCTGAGGCACGTGTAAAGACCCCCAATGTTCCAAGCTGCCAAGTGCCTCCTCTTTTACCTACTCACTGAATTGGCTATTTTGAGGGCTGTAGTTGTATCTCAAGGAATGCTTCGTTCTCCACAAAATCTTGAAAAAGATCTTCATAGCAGAGAAGGGTCCTGCTTGCAAAAGGAGCTACATTACCACTTACTTCAACAGGAAGCCACCCTGATTGCCAGGAGCATCACTTGGTTTTTCAATACAGCTGCTCTTCACAGCCTGCTTTCAGCAGTGTTTTAGCTTGTAGAAAACAAACATCTTCCTGCATGCCTGCATACTGTTGTGGCCATACTTTTTAAGATTAAGAGTTTGATTAGCTTATGAAAGAGATTGTATAATGTGTCCAGGATATCCATTCCTGTTCTGTGTTCTTGTTTTCATAATGACCTTGTGGAGAAGATTCAGTCAGAGGTAGGATAAATGCTTTGCAGCCTACAGATGCAATAAATCATAAATTATAACCATTCCCTTGTAATATTACTTGGGAGGCATGCTTGTTTGAAACATTTTATGGTTTTCCATGTTTATCATGCAGTATAGGCATGTTCAATGCAAAACAGATAAGCTACCTGGGGTAATGCCAGATGATAAAATGTTGATGCGACTAGTTCATACTTTGGTGTTACGGTTTAGGCACTGAATTCTATATTTAGTAATCAAAACACAAATGACCTTTTGGAAAAATTCTGAAAAAAAAATCTCCCATTGAATTCAGTGCTCTTGCCACCTCCCATCAACCCTAAAAATGAGGACATTTATATTTAAAAGTAGCTGTTTGTACACAGACCCGAAATGTTTCACAGATGTAATGGAATATTTTCCAAAACTTTTATGATGGTTTCTATTTTTAAAGGATTTTTAAAAACACCTATTATGTTAAAATCACATTGCAAGATATATTTTCTTTTCTTGCTTAAGAGATAATGTCAATATACTGTATTTTTCATGAAAAGGTAGCTTCTTTGGTTAATAATTGTAATTTCTATTTTATGGTTTTCCAGGCAGTGTTCACCGATTTAGAGATTCTTGCAGCAATTTTTGCTAGTGCAATACATGATGTAGATCACCCTGGAGTTTCAAACCAGTTTCTTATCAACACAAGTAAGTATGGCTTTTTAGAAAGCATTTAAAGTTCTCTGTTTGTCGTTCTGTAACATTTCTGTATTGCAAATAAAAACACAGCCTGTTTTTCTTTGCATATCCATATTTACCTTTTCTTAGAACTCATATAGGTGTTTGCATTTTAATCTGTTTATTCTTTTGCATGGAACTTAACCCTAGAAATAAATCAATTTATTGTGATAAGTGCTCAAGCACAAGCACATGAGGATGAACTACAAAACTTAGTCCCATTAGGACAAGATACTCGTTCTTCTGGAAGAAAAGTGTACAGTTTTCATTAAATGAGAAAAATATATACAAGAACAACATTAGAAAATTAAAGAAAATAAAATATGAAACAATGGAAGGAGGAAACAAAACAGTCAACATCCTTGGGTTTGTAGGGCTCTTTGAAATAGTCTGTGCAGAGCTCATCCTTTTTTTCCTGCCTGTGATAGTTTTACCATATATCTATCTATCTATCTATCTATCTATCTATCTATCTATCTATCAGGCTCTGGCAAAAACTCTGGCCCACCACTTGTGAGATTCCACAGCCTCTGGCTGACGATTAGATAGACCAGAAAGCAAAGGACATGAACCAATCTATTGCCACTCCTGAATGTGAGGTCCAATGAACCAGTAATTGGTTCTTCTCTGCTTAGTGTGTAGTATTACAGCAATGCTCCCAATTTTTTACCAGACTGAAGCACTAACTTCTTAGTTAATTTCATATCTTTTTTTCAAAGGAGCCAGATTGTCATATATTTACTGAACAGAGCCTGACGAAATGAGACCCAGCGATTTCCATGAGACTGTTCATACAATTTGGGTATGAATGAATGAACAATTTAGCATAGAGGCATAGCTAGCTGTTTCTTCTCCTTGAGCAGAGCTGAGGAAGAACTGTGGGGGGGTGGGATTGGGTTGTTCAGAGATCGTGACGGGCGACGGGCAGAGTCATCTGCCTCTGATTGATGTGGCTGAAACTAACAGCCTTTGAATGAGCCTGTGCTGAGCACAGTCCACTGCTGCTTCTCTGGTGTTCCCACTGCCTCCATTCCAGTGTCTCCCATAATAAATACCCAAGGCCCATGCCCTGGTTGCCCACTTCTAATTATACTACTGATTCACTTTGGGGTAAAAAAGGGGCAGGATTTTACCCTGTGTTAGCTGCTCTGTGAGAGTTTAACCTTCTTTCATAAATACTTAAGCTTCTCTTCTTTAGTTTCCATTTACCACAAGATAAGAATTCACACATGTGCACTAACCACAGAGCAGCTGACACAGTAAAGTCCTATTCCTTTTTAAACTGAAGTGGATTGCTCATGTGTCCATATCCTAAGGTGAGTAAGGACAGTACAATCTAGATCAGTGTAAGTTCCTATTTAAAATGTTATTTCTTTAACTATCCCAAGCAAATTTTAAACAGCTGACAAGAAATATCACATCTGAAATAACATTAAGAGTCTGAGCAAGTCAGGAGAAAAAGCCGGGGAAAAACTATGGAATCAGGTCTGAGATTGCTGTACTGGTGGTACAATGCCATAAACCTGACCTAGCAGCCTGGTTTAAGGCAGAGATCTAGTTTTGACTCTTTTTTTTTCTGTTGCAGGTTCAAATAAGATACTGAACATTGTTTGAATCTATTTGTGCTTTAATTGTCGTAGGGCTACCCTATAGTGGAAATCAATTCAGTGACTCATCAGCAAGGGAGAGGTTTGGAAATGTTACTGGATTTTTGGAGCTGTGTTGATAACAAGTGCAGTTCATTTTGATATAGGAACAGCGTGAACCAGTACTTAATTTTCATACTTCTGAGAATAGGCTGATATAGCCTATAGCTTTTTGTGGGACCATTCAGGAATTAACATAGACATATTCTTTACAGCTTTTGGTAAAGCAATATAATAAAATTAACAATAACACTTATACATAATATAATAGCATTTACATGATTTATACTTGATATTTTTTGCCAAAAACATACTATAATAGTATCCATTCTGACAGTTTACAAAAAATTAAAACAACATAGTATATAACGATATGAAAATAAAGAAAATGAAGCAGAGGACCATATAGTAAAACAGGGGAAGTGGCCCAGAAAAACTTAGGGACTATTTGACAGGCTGCAAATTGTTAGAAGGAATGCGAATTGTTCCTTTTTTCATTAGCCAAATATTTAAAAATTTTCCACTAATGGTGAGATGCATTTTCTTCTTATTTCTCTGAAGAACAAACAAGACCACAAATATTGATTTGAGTTATCCATCTCATAAGAACATGTGTCCAAATACAGGGTGTGAAACCACCAACCCATGAGAATTGTGTATCTCCTTAGAGCAGGGGTGTCAAATCCCCATGGCCGGATCCAGCCTGCTGACCTGGGTCATCTGAACCACCAACTTTTGCGTCAGCTCTGGCTCCGGTGGTAGGGCTTCCCATGGTGGCAATCAGCACCTCTGGGAGAACAGCACAAAGTAGAACTGCCATCAGATGGCCTGCCACTGTGGCCAGAGCCAGGGCAAAAGACTCAGCAGGCTGTGGCCACAGTGGCAGAGCTTCTGGCTGGAGTGCTGTCACTGGAGTGCTGGTTGCCACCACAGAAAGCCCCATCACGTCTGTCAGAGCCCTGGCTTTGGTTGTAGCAGGGGTATGGTGGGGTTTGTCCACAGTGGTACTGGGACTGTCAGCTCCTGATTCCCACTAGAATTCAGACTGCTGTTGTGGGACCCCATGGTGCTTCTTAGGTTTCCAGCACCTGGCTCTCACTGGGGAGCTGACTGCCATATAGGAAAGCCCTGCCGCTGTGCTCTAGCTACAGGGAAAGGTCTTCAGCCCATGCTACTCATGGAGCTGCCTGCACCCTGGTTAAAGCTGGGGCTCTGGGTGCTGCCATAGGAAGTCACACCCCTGTTGCCATGGCCTTGATCACAGTGCTGCAGGGCTGCTTTTGCCCTGGCAAAAGCTGGAATGCTGGCTGTCACTGGAAGCCATACCACCACCTTGCCAGACCTGTGGCCATGGTGCCAGAGTCTCTGAATGCTGTGCTGCTTTGTTTGCCAGCACCCCAGCTCTTGCTGGAGCACTGTCTGCCACTGCAGACAGCCCAGCCACTGTTGCCAAAACCCTGGCTTTGGCCATGGTAACATGCATGCACACATACGCACACTCTCTCTGTCTCTCTCTCTCACACACACACACACACACACACACACACACACACACACACACACACACTGTCCCTACAGTGTGCTAGCTTTCTTCATGCAGACACACGTGCACATACTTTATTGCTTTATTCAGAGTCAGAGTGATTTAAGTAACCTGTAACACTACAGGATCATGTAGATGCAACAGTTAGATGGTATCAGTGGGTTCATGCTCCCAACCAGCAGCCGTTCTCCCTCCTTTTTTAAAGTACCTAAAAGTATGTTTGGCCATACTCATATGCAAAACCCAGTTACAACTGACAATTTGAAAGTTATCGATTGGCATCTAAGAAATGAGATGATTGTCTCAATCCAGTAACTGTGGATAGACAAACTTCCCCATCAGCAAAATCCAGCACTAATTGACACTTTCTGGCTGGCTGATCAGAGGCTTAGGATTTCAAGGGGAGTCTTTTGTCCTCGTGACAGCCCTGTGAGTTAGTTATTTATTACTATTCTCATTTCATACATGGGGAACTAAGATATAAAGAGATGAAGATCCTAACACTCCAAGGCAGAATGGCACCTAGCTACCATTAATCATTGCTAAACCCATCAAACAGAGTTAAGCATCTAGGTTGCTTGCAGATGTTAAAAAATATTTTAAAAATAACCCGTGCTTTACCAAAAGAAGCAGTGCTTTACTTCGACCCAGCTCTGCAGCGTCCATATAGATTGGGCACTTCAGCGAGGCTTTTTGGCACTTTTAGCTAAAGCTGATTCAATCAGCTATTAGATAAAAGTGCCAAAAAAGCCCCACTAAAGCGCACAATCTTTACAGACATCAGGCAAGCTGGGTTGAAGTAACGTGCTGCCTCTCTGGACATGCGTTGGGCATGGCCCCAGAACATCCCAAGTTTAAAGTAAAGCACTTGTTTGGTTGGTTGGTTTTGTTTTGTTTGTTTGTTTTACATCTGCAAGCACCCCTAAATATCCTTAAACATCTGGTACTGTACTAAGTGACTCATCCAGTATCATACAGGAAGCCTGGGACAGAGCAAGCTGTTGGACTCAGGTTTCCTAAGTCCTCAGCCTGCTAGTTTTCCTAACATCCTCATCTTTGCCTTCAGTCTTCTCTGTTTTCCATTGATCCTTGTAGTACGTTTATTTGATGTATAAATTACTAACTTATGACGTCGATAAATAATAATAAATAAAATTTAAAAATAAAGTTTGCTTTTAAAAAGCTAAATTATTAATATTTGTGTCGCAATTCAGTGTATTCATTATTAAACTGTGTTCATCTGTGGTATTTTTGAATATTTGTTCCTTTTTACAAGAATTAGGATATATTTGTACATTTGTTCATGTTTTTGTACACATTTGTACAAAAAAGGACCCCTTAATATTTCAAAAAACGATCATAATAGCATCAGCTGGTTTTTTTTTTTAATCCTTTTTTTTTTTCTTGCCAACATACCTGGAGCCTCTAACATGATTGTTGTGGTGAATAACACGTGGGCACTTTTTCTTTCACTGTGATTACAAATTTCAGCATGATGGAGCCACCCCGTGAGCTCTGGCTCTTTCTGGGTAACTTAATTGTGTTGAGCAATTCTCTAGTATTGACCTTCTGGAAGGTTGCTTTGTCTGAAAAATAAATCATTTTCCACTTTCTTTCTTAGAAAAACAGCAAATAAATGCATTGATGATTTATTTTTCACAACAAAGAAGAAAAGATTAAAGGGGTATTGATTGACAAAAAGGTATTTCTTTTCCTGTCTGTTTTTATGGTTTTTACTGCCTTCAGGAGAAAAAAAAGTAGGGGAAGGAGTTCCTGATTCACAGGATTCACGTGTTCAGTACAGGAGAGTGAGACAGCAGGAGAATACATAATGAGGCTTTGGAGATCTGAACAGAAGAGCCTTTATATGCTACCCCATTGAGCCAGAGGGATTTCAGAGTAGAGCTTCTCTAAAAGAAGATAACAAGGGCAAACATTAGAATATGCATGGATAGATTTAGGATATATAAACTGCAATAAACATAAATTAACATCAATAAATAATCAGTTTGATTGCATATAATCTATTTTTTCCTAACGACAGTTCCATTATGGGACATATTCAAACGTATGCAAGCTAGTTGTTTGCGTACAATCCAGCTGTGCACCTGTGCAAATGAAATGTGTCTTTATTGCCAAAACTCTCTTTTACCAGGCCCTAAGTAGACATACCAACTTCTGCATGCAATTAAATAAAGATCTTGTTAGGAGAATTTGAGCCCAATTTATTTTTATGAATATATAGAGTGACCTACAGTTAAGGATCCTTAGGTTTGAAAAAGTAGCATTTTGTCATTAATAATTAGTTGTCTGCAACTTGGGTATTAGATACTGAAGAAGTCATTTTTTGCTACCATCCAAAAGTTATCCTTTTAAAGATGCAGTGTTCTCTGAGAGAGGATCCTGAAATACAACTTCTTCCAAAACATGCTGTTGTCACATGCTAATAATGTGTGTTATAGGTAAAAAATCGGTTGGTTGCAACATGTAAGAATTTGCTTCTGTTCATTTTTTTTTACCCTAGCACCAAGTTGCTGGCATATGAGACTTAATTTGGTAGTTGTGTGGAAGGGATGTGTATGCAGTATTTTCCATCCAATTTGATGTCCACACGGAATGTTGTTCTGAAAGTTCAGCACTGGAAGCTTACTTGCCATTTCATGTATGCATACAGGCTTTGGTGGAAATCTGGCATTGTATATTCTGCAAACACCTGTGCCTTGACTAATTAGGGTTTTTGCAGGGAGGGGAGAAGGAGGAGGATGTTTACTTCATCAATACCCAGAACCTCTGAATTATACAAACCCTTTTCTTCCTGTATACACCATTGAAGATAGAAGAAGTTAAAAGATGTTGGAATAAAAAGGGCATCTTTAAATCTTATAAAACATAACAGCCTTGTATTTATTCTATTTTCTTAATTACCATCTTAGAAGATGCCAACAAGTGTAGATCTAAGAAGGCATTAGTTTGACCTGTAGCTGGCAGCCAGGAAGAAGACTATTGTAAGCAAACATTAGAGTAATCTGTGATTTTCAGCTGTCATGACAATCTGAAAAATCAAAATTTACTTGGGGGAGATGGGCTTTATTAACATTCTGCTTCATGACTGTCTTGCAGACTCTGAACTTGCCTTGATGTACAATGACTCATCAGTATTGGAGAATCATCATTTGGCTGTGGGCTTCAAGTTGCTGCAGGAAGAGAATTGTGACATTTTCCAGAATTTGACCAAAAAACAGAGACAATCACTGAGGAAAATGGTCATTGACATTGTGAGTTACAACTTGAGCTTCCCACTTCCATAATGTTTTGAAATTGAATGGCAGAAACAAACAGTAGATAAACTTTTATGGTAAATTATAATCAAACATGCAGTATAGACAGTGAAATGAAAATTGCCTTATCTGTTGCTCATGCACATATGTTGGGCTCCTTTGATTTAAATGCATGTTTCTGATTATCTTGGAGTTCTTCGAGGTAATTTTTGTCAAGATACTTGTGTGTGCTTCTGCAACATTACAGTCTAAATGGTCATTAAATTTCAGATCTCAATTAAAATGTCATTTTTTCATATAAATCAAAATGAAATTCTGTCCCTTGAGTTACTCTGGCTTAGGACAGGTCTTTGTATAGTCAAATGTGTGAGCTGTGGTTTATGTTTTTCAGAACGATATTTTTGTGTAATTTGGGGTCTGTGAATTCAAATATTGGTTCAAAAAAAGTCATTTGAACATTTTGATTACTAATGATTTGTCTTGTTCAAGGTGCTTGCAACAGACATGTCTAAACATATGAATCTATTGGCTGATTTGAAAACTATGGTTGAAACCAAAAAAGTGACAAGTTCTGGGGTTCTACTTCTTGATAACTATTCAGACAGAATTCAGGTAAGACAGCTGAAAATGTTCTCTTACCTTAATTTTCTTCATTTCCTACATTTGTCTTCCCAATTCTTCATGTGTATGTGCTTTATTTTAACTCCCTCCTCACCTCGCTAAGCTCTATTTTTCTTTTCCCTTTCCTTTTAAATGTGTGTGATCCATATATGCCATGGTTAGATTCAGTATCATTTTTTTATTGAGCATTAACCAATTTTTTAACTGAGCTTCAAGGCAGGACAGAATTTTTCTTGGTTTAATTTTATATGGCCTAACCTCCAAGTAGAGAGCTGGTTAGCCATGTTAATTTGAAGTCTACCCTACCTTCTGCCTAACCTCTAAGTATCTTTGAACCTAATTAGTCTTGCACTTAAATATTTTTTGTTGCTCAGTATAGGCAGAAGCTTGAGAAGTGAGATAATTTGTGGCTATTAATGCAAGTGTGAAAAACATACACAGGCACCTCAAGCTTCTGCTGTTCAGAATAAATCTAGCACTACATGTATTTTCACGATTCTGCTTCACAGCCACCAAATGTGTAAATGGAAAAGAGAGCCTTTCGTCTCCAGTGTAATAACACCACAGGTGCTCAGTAGCTAATACGTGTTTGTCTATTTTAGGTTCTTCAGAATATGGTGCACTGTGCAGATCTAAGCAATCCAACCAAGCCACTCCATCTCTATCGCCAGTGGACAGACAGAATAATGGAAGAGTTCTTCCGTCAAGGAGACAGGGAAAGGGAGAGGGGCATGGAGATAAGTCCCATGTGTGATAAGCACAATGCATCTATAGAGAAATCACAGGTAATCCATTTACATGATCAGTGCTGCTGCTTATCCACATTTCATTTATTTGCCTGGGTTTATGGTTCCATGATGTAGGATCTTCTATACTTCCCCTATAATTCAGCATCTAAGCAACTAGATGGTAAAAAGTATTAAGAATTCCTACCTTTAAAATACATCTATACTTGTGTATTGGTGAAAGTTTCCATCATTGTACTCTCTCAGGCTAAATACAGACAGTCAAAATCAGAGGCTGAATTGATTCAATCTGTTCAGATTAGTCTAAACTGTATAGATTAAATCAAAAAGCAAGTGAACAGGCATTCACTTTTGATTCTGGAAATGCAGCCACATGCCTGCAGTGGCCTAGGCCAGAACTGGGGGGCGGGGAGGCCTCTAGAGCATGTATTCCTGCTCAGCTGAAGCAGATAGCTTGGGCCAAGGCTAGCCTGCCCACCCTGCAAGGGGGCAGTGGGGTTTGTGGGGGTGTGCAAAGCATCCTGGGATGATAGGACTATGAGTTAACTGATTTAGGTTAAATGGATTTATTGAACTTGTCCCAGATCCCTTCCAGATTCAAGTTAAGTCTAATACTATATCCATCCAGGTTTATCTTTAACTGGTTTTGGCCATTTTGAAAGCTGTTTATGTGCTGTTGTGTTATAGATGTGAACCAGTTTGTATCACTTATACTAGTTTATATGAAATTTATGTCCCTAGCCTCACAGTATAGAAGGTTCTATAAAAGAGAATACAGTACATCTGTTCCTCAAGTTTCCTTTTAAAAACAGGATTATATAAAAAAACCAAACATATTTTCAGCTTGTTAGGAAAAAAAACCTGAGTTGCTTGAAAGTATAATTCATTTAGCAGTAGCAGTTTATAAATAAACCCCTTCTACTATCCATCTCCCATGACTACAAAATAAAGACCTGAGAATTCAGCCTGAGTGCATTTCAGACCACTGAGAATGCTGCAAGAGCCCATATTCTATATAGATTTGTAGAGCTTCTGTTTGGCCATCTTAGGCATGTGTCTTCAGCATGCTGGTTTCTGACAGGACTGTACTCAGACATTATTCTTTTGAGAGCATGAACATCAGGAGTCTCTGTCCTAGTAGTATTATCTTTTTTATTTTATAACCTATATGTCTTTGTTTTTCTTGTGAATAAAATACTCCTCCTAATTCTGCATTGTTAAATTGCTTGAAACAGGTGGGGTTTATAGACTACATTGTTCATCCTCTCTGGGAGACATGGGCAGATCTTGTACACCCTGATGCCCAGGACATCTTAGACACACTGGAGGACAATCGAGAGTGGTACCAGAGCACAATCCCTCAGAGTCCCTCTCCTGCACCTGACGAACAGGAAGAGGGTAGGCAGGGCCAAACTGAAAAATTCCAGTTTGAACTAACATTGGAAGAAGATGGTGAGTCAGATACAGAAAAAGACAGTGGAAGTCAAGTGGAAGAAGATACCAGCTGCAGTGACTCCAAGACTCTTTGCACCCAGGACTCAGAGTCCACTGAAATTCCTCTTGACGAGCAAGTCGGGGAAGAAGTGGAAGAGGAGGAGAGCCAGACAGAACCTTGTGTAGTAGAGGAAGATCATTCTCCTGACACGTAACAGTGTGAAGACTGAATCTCTCTCTCCAGCTCTCTGTCTCTCTCTCTTTTTTAAAAATTAGAAAATTGTTTTCCAAAGTGCATGTCATATGCTACAACCATGGTCACACCTCACCATCATCTGCCAGAACGCTCGTCGATCAAAACTGACCTTGATTACTCTGTATGGCACTCAGGAATATTGTAACCAGATTCTTCACCTCCATGGCATCAGAGAACAAGGGGGAAAACATCCATAAACAGCATATTAATAAGATCTCCACTTGGCAGATTTGATTAGAGAGAGCAAGGCTATTCTTGAAGCATTTCAGAGGAGTACTGACTGCCAGCAGAAGGCTGGTGTGCTTTGGGAAGTTTAGTTTAGTTTTGTTTTGTTTTCTTTCACAAGCAAAGCATTGAGTAATGTTCATCATCACCATTTTAAGAAAACAGCCAGAGAATGAACTGTGGTTCCTAATGGAAAGGAAATGCACATGGATAATGGGACACAACATGAATCTGTTACCAATAGGAAGATGAGCTGTGGAAATTGCATAATTTTCTAATTTCAAGTCTTCCTGATACATAAACTGAAAAAGTGTGGCCCAGTGGGTTGCACTGACCTCTGCATTTTGTATAATATGTAAAACAGAGATCTTTTGTAGAGCTTACTTTTATTATTAAATGTATTGAGGTATTATATTTAAAGACAAAAACACTTTCACAACTTCATCTGCCACTGGTTATTTTTTTCTCCGAAGAGTAACTTGCAAGTTTTCAGTACAGATCTGTGCTACACTGGATTATACCTAGTACATTTTTTTGCACCTTTGATTTTCATAGTAATGATTTGAGCTGTAAAAATCCATTATTTTCTATACCAGTGACTTCCAATGAGTACTTTTGTATAGGTTGCAGAAAACCCTTTCAATATGATTATATTTACCTTTTTGTTTTGTTTTAATTATCATTTTCCCAGACATACAACAGAAATCTGCATTGACCTCTTGTCCTCACAGTGGACCTAATCCTGCATGGACTGTCCCTTGCTTATGTGTATAGGCTTTACACACATGCATAGTTCCATGGAATTCAATGAGACTTCCAGGGCTTTGCAAGAAGAGTGGGCCCATCTACTCTGAGAAGTGAAACACCTTTTTATATACACACAATTCTCTCATTTCCTCAACTCATTCCATTAAAACATCATTTAAGGCCATTTTTGACTGCAAACTGTAGAATGATAACCGAAAACGGCCTAATACAATGTATGGAATATTTGTTTAGGCAAAAAATTGTAATCTCTCCTGTCTCCCTTAATACCTTTTTATCTGTGTCTGTAGTTTGGGCAGTGACTGCTGTCTAACAAGATCACGTGTTCACCTCAGAAGTATGTATTTCCTAAAAATAGTCATAAGCAAATTTTTTATAACCCTATCTTTGTATGTTACTTTACAGTCTCAAAATGTTTTCACCCTTGGTCCACACGGCATTCACAAGATCCTACTTTTAAGTCTGATTAGTATTGAAGCCTTCAGTGTCTTGAAAGGGAAAAAAGAGTATCAACTCCCATTTGTCGGTATCTAGACTGACTAAAAAGTCATGTAAAGCAAGAAAGAAGTGTCCTCTTTTAGTTGACCCTTCATTAAGACAGTAGTTTTGATGATAGAAGTTGGGAAATAGTTTCCTAGGGAAGTCAATTCCCTGTGTGTCAGATTCTAGTAGAAGGACAGGGTAATGCTGACTTTTGAACAAAACGAAATGGAAACAGCATTTATTTCCCTTGCTTGAATTTGGTTGACCCAGTGGAAATGTAGGATATGAATAGGGGTTAATACCCATGTTACAAGCGTAGGGTAAAAACTCGTTTTAAAAAACAAGCTAATGGTTCAGCATTCAAGTGCATTTTGCGTTTTTCTGTATCCAGCTCATAGGGTTATTCCCCTTTATCCCCGAAATGGTGTTAGCACAGAACATACTGAAGGGAGACTGAAAATGAAAAGATCTTGCTGTAGTAGCAGTCTTAGGTTCATTTCTGTCCTTTGTCATTTTTCCTTGAATGTTCTACCATCTAAAAATCACTTCAATCCCCAAGAGTGCCTGGAATTTTAATAATGAAAAAAAGCAATATAAATTCCAAAAATCAATATGAACCTGAAAGGGTTTTACATCTGCACTAATTGAAAATAAAGAAACTTAAAGAAAATACCACCATATTTGAAAAATACACCCACATACATGGACAATCAAATAGTAGAAAAAGACATCATATCTTAGAGCCAGGGATCTAATGCACTGTACAATCTTTTTCTTTGCCAAAGTGTGTTTTAGCATTGCACACGGCTTTAAAAACAATATCATTTACAAGTGGCTTTATGTGTTCTAAATATTTTTGCCATATGAAAATGCAATGAGTTGGGTACTGAATGGGGAAAAAAAGAAAAACCCATGTTTGCTTATAACAGTACACTTTAGCTTGCAAGTTACTGTATTCAGTAATGCTGTGTTTGGTTGTTTTAATTGTTTTTGTGTCATTGTTAAAAATAACGATGAGAGAATATAGGTAGAACAAATTGCATTCAGCAGTTTAAAAAACTTGAATGAAAAGGATTTTACAGAAAGTTTGAAACTTCTTTTAAATGCATTATTTATTTTATTTTGTGCCATCCGTTTTTCTCACCAAATGACCTTACCTGTAATACAGTCTTGTTTGTCTCTGTTTACAACCATGTATTTATTGTAATGTACATACTGTAATGTTAATTGTAAATTATCAGTTCTTATTATAACATCATCCTTGATAGGGTGGTGTTGCTATATTTGGAAACTCTTGGTGAGAGAATTAATATTGTGTATACATACTCCTTGTACATTTTTTCTCCTGTAATATATTCTATGTCACCTTAGAGCTTGTTTATGGAAGATTCAAGAAAAAACTATAAAATACTTAACGATATATAAATAAAAAAGCTGCAGGTCTTTGGTCCCAGGGCTGTGCCTTAACTTTAAACAATATTTTCTTCTGTTTTGCTGCATTTGAAAGTAAGGTAGCTGTGGGACTAGGGCTGGGCATTTCTCCCATACTTGTAGTTGTTGATTGATTGGGTAACTGGCATATGCTAGTATGTACAACACTCCAAACTACTCTTATTCATGACCCCACTGGAAATTCAATTTTTTTTCTGTACCCATGGTAGTATAACAGTATTGTCTACCTGATTTGTTTTTTTGTCCATGTCTGGAGGCTATAGTCAGGGATTATTATAGCCATGTTCAATTTTATTAAATTAACACTGTCATTTGCAACGGCAATATACATATGGACTGTACATCTCACATTTCTGCTAAGTCATTTGGCACTTACATGGGAAAAATAAATAATCTGGATTCAAGAATTGTAATTTATATGTATTATTAGTTTTACAATTGTCTGTAATATTCCTTCCTTCCTTCGTACTAAGAGAGTGGGTACAGGATACCACTCTAAAAACAGAATTCATAGAGGAGGGCAGGAAATGCTTTCCAACACTAGTATTAGTGTTACAAGCAGCCAAAGCTTTCCTTTTGTATAGATATAACTAAGGCTTTGTACAGTTGCCTATAGTTAGATGCACTGTCTGTAGGATGATTCTAAACCATTAGATCTTTTAATAACACTAGTATTAGTTTTGCAAAATTGGACTCTTTAAAGCATCTCTAGCCTTTTAAACATCTCAGTTGCTATAGACCAGTTAGAACCCTTGATAGTAATTCACTAGCTAGCATGACATATACCTTTTCTCCATTCTATTAATGCCCAGCCCTTGTAGCATGTGACTGTTCAGTGAAAGGAGAGATTCTTTTTCAAGGAAAAACAGAGCCTCCTTTTTGACACAAACTGTAGATTTTAGCAGCCCTGGCCCAAAGGAATTTGATTGCTTTTGTTTTAAATAGTATAAAAGGGACACTATACCGACAGAAATCCTGAGCAATTTTTGTTATTGTTTTAATTTGGTTTTTCCTTTGGGTATGTCTTGAGAGTGGCAACATGTGTGAACATTGCAAATGATGATTCTTTCAATGGTTTCTTAGCCACTCTTACAGCCTATGGGATAGTACTGTACATCAATACCTTCATATGAAATTTTTATATGCAATGGAAATAAAAGCATGGGTTGATTCTGCCTAGGTACTGTACTTGATTTTCTTTTGTGACTAAAATATATTGCACCTAGGAAATGCCATTAGAAACAATATAAAGCACAGCAGCGTGCCAAAGGGATTCCATGACCTCATAGCAATTATACCTGGCAAGAAGTAAATTTGGTCAGTAATGGATTAATCTATCACCAGCAACATTCCCTAAAGACCTTAATCCACTAAGGTGCTAATCACATCCCAAGGGTCAGGCTTCATCTTGACTCCATGAAGATTTTGCCATTTAGTTCAGAGCAAGTTGGAGCCAATTCTGAGGAAAAGGGCTTTGTGTAGAGGGCTCTGGGAACTTTTTTTTTCCTTAGTGGAGATGATCAATAAAGATATAACAGGAAAAGGAAATCCCCTAGTTATATATTCATCTGGTCAAAGAGGAAGATAATATGATGGTAGTTTTAATGAAACTATTGATCAAAAACTAAAGTGTACTTTGCTTAGGAAGAAATGTAGCTCTTGATCTTTAATGCAAGCACAGTTATCTGATTCTTAGTGCTCGTATTGGTACAAACCTTGCAGTGTCTTTTGTATGTTGTTGTGTTGTTTTGTTGACCAAACTCTCATTGACTATGATTCTTTTGCTTAAGGAAAAACATTGCCATCATTTATACTTACATATTCCAGCAAGAATTCCCAGAGGCTTTGTTGGATTTATTGGTATTATGCTTATAATGCTAAAAAGGTGTCCTCCTTACCAGTAAATTAGACATTGCTTATTATATTTATATTAATGCCACATTTAATCTAGGAGCTCCAGTCAAGAACAGGGATCCATTGTACCTGACTAAACCAAAATCCTGCAAAGTGACTTGAACTATGAGTGTGATCCAGGCAAGCATTGAAGTACTTGCTTAACTTAACTCTGAGCAAGATCTGGGTCAGTAGATCATTTATTTTGTTCTGTCTTTCTTTCTTTCATCCGCTGGATTGGAGCCACAGTAGCACCTTTAGGCAAAGAAAGGATTGAGTTTTGAATAGCTTACAAGCTAAATAAAAGGCAAGAGGAAGAAAATATATTATCCCTATTTTACAGGTAAGGAACTAGGAAACAGGCAATAAATAACTTGACCAGACTCACAAAGAACTCATATTTCCTGAAAGGTTCTTTCAGGTGTTAAATATGTAGTATGACAAAAGGTGTTCATTAGGTGTGTTAACCCTGTCAAGCACAAGTGTTAGACTTACTAGAAAGAGATGGGAAAGACTTTTCTTAAAGGTCATTCTTCAGTTCTGGGCCTTTCTTCCACAAGGAGAAATCTTGCCTTATTCTGGACGGAATGTAAGTCATGCTGATTTACAGTAGTATAAAATTCTCCTTACTAAGTAAGAGAACTAGGCCAAAATGGATTCTTCCAGCTGCTACTGCTGGAGCTGAGTATAGAAGCATAGTGCTAGAAGAGACCTCAGGTGTCATCTAGTCCAACTCATCCTCCTGCTCCCATTCCCTCCTTCCTCTCTTCATCCCATGCACAAAAGCATGATTCACCAAGTTCTGAAACTGATGACTGTTCACCATTCTTAGTCAAGTAATCTGTATAGGATTATTTTGTCGGGGCAAGGCTCAGTTCTCTTCCTTGGAGGCCACTTACCTTATTGGCCATGACTAAAAACAAAAGTGACCGCTGCTAATGTACACAGAGTTGGCTGGATGACAAACCTAGTTTCTCTTCCAGCTGAGAGTGATTTTGTGCAGTTTTGCCATGTTAAAAAACCTCAAATATATAACAGTACCTTTTAGCAAGGCTTAAAGGAAAATCCCTAGATTCCTGTTGGCACCAGCTGTCTGAGAAAGATGCAAAAGTAACAAGGTAGAGGACTGGTGGGGAAAACTACAAGCAAAAGCTAGCTCTGTTCAGGAAGAGAATCTTTCCTCCAGTTGCAATGAATACAAACCAATGCCATCATGAATAGTTTTATAGCTAAAATGCTAATTGGGGACTCAGGAGGGGTGGAGGCAGTACCCAGCCTCCACCAGCAGCCCAGGCCAGTGCCTGCCCCCACAGCTGTGCAACTGCAGCCCCAGCCATAAGGCACGGCTGGCAATATTATCACTATCTGCCAACAGCGGCAGCTCATCTTGGGGGGGGGGCAGGCTGGCCAGAGCACCTGCATACCACGCCATGCTGCCCTATGAGTCTGCCGGGAGCTACATGCCAGCCTGGACTGACCAGAGCTGCAGGACATACCAGCCTTACCCATGTGGTAACTCCTGCACTAGGGGGAGGGACTTCCCTGCCCTGGCCCCTGCCCCCCATCCCTACCTGCTTGGACTGCGTTCTCCTGGCCTCTGGGTTCCCCCTCCCACCCAGAAAACAGGGAAGCAGGAAACAGTGCAAAACTTTATTGAGCAGCCTGTGCCCCCACAGCTAGGCAGGCATAGGTTTCTCACATGCTGAGGAATGCAACAATGCCAGCAGCATAGGCCCCTGGTGCAGAACATCTTATCTTAGAAATGTTGCACACTCTCACGAAGAGCTTCTTTCTCAAGGCTCTGCAGGCCCTGCAGCTGCACAAAGTGGGCAGTTGGGATGTGGCCTCAGGGTCACTCCTGCCCATGGTCAGGGCCCTTTGGATGCGGCAGCTCCGAAGGAGGAGGAACCCCAGGACTAGACCCTCCTCCTGGACTGGCTGGTAATGGCTATGGAGGACTGGCTGCGAGATGAACAGACATGTCGGGTCGTCCCCCCCACCCCAGCTCCCCCCATCTGGACCCAGACCTGCCGCTCACCCTGGCTCCACCTGGGCACAGAGCCGGAGCTGCTTGCTAAGACCTCACACCAACCCTGCTGTCTCTGCAAACCATCAGCCAGACAGAGAGCCACCCATGCTGGGGGATGAGTGACCGCTGTCAGCTCTGGGGGAGCTCCCTGTCCAGTGAACTCACCATGGCATACACACCCATGGGGAAACAGCCAAAGGCCAGGGTGCTGGCCACCTGTCTCCGGGCTCCACCCCTGAGGTATTCCCAACCCATGGTTGCCCACCCACCCTGGGAGGGTGCACACACAACTACAACACTTCACTTGTAAATAGTTTGCATGGGGAAGAGGGTGTTTTATTGTTGGTGGGTGGGTGGTGGAGGTGCTCTGTTTTTAGGGAGGAAGTCGGTGGGAGGTGTTTGTTGTGAGAGCAATAAAGTGTTTTCTTGAGAACTGTTTGCAGTGAGCATGTTGCTGGAGGTGGACAGTGGAGTGGGGGGGTCCATGGCCAGCTGTTCAGATGGGCTACAGCAGGGAGTGCAGGATAAGGTGTCTGCCTAGCACCTCACGCACCCAGTGCCATGGCCCCTGCTGGCGGGTGTGCAGGTTGCCCAAGGTCTTGTTGGTGTGGGCCCACTGAGGCCAGCAGGGCTAGCACCATGGCCAGCAGGAGCCTGGGGTCCTAGCTGTCACTGCCAGGGGCAGTGGCTGGATCAGTCATGGTGCGGGGAGGCAGAGGCTGCAACAAGAGAGCTGTGATATGCTGATCCGGGGCTCTGCATGCTAGTCCTGACCAGAAAAAAGGCTGGCAAGGGAGCAGAGACCAGGGCTGCCTTTTAAAGATGTCTGCTATCTGCTGGCAAGTGCAGCCAGAGCCTTGTACACCCCCTGGATGGTGGTGGCAGGGGTCCATTGCAGGGCTGCAGGAAATGGGAGCAGTTTGCTGCTAGGAGCAGCAAATTTTCTCCCATGTCCCTGCATCTGTAGACACCTGCCCAGGAGTGTTTACTTAGGAGTAGTCTGTAGATGCACCTAGTAGGCAGCAGATTCAATGTCCCCAGCTTCAATTTCACAAATTCCTTGTGCTGCCAGAGCAAGATAGAAATACTTTACTAGAGACCAGGAGATGGCCCAGTGTCATGTATGTAATTCAAAAGTACCCCTCATACGTAGTGGGGTTCCAACACAAACCAGTTAGGACCATATAATATATTATACTTTTTACAACACTAAATGTCAACCTTATTTTTGTTTTATCTTTACCTGACAATCCATCAGGGGGGTTGATTCTGAGATTAAATATTATATCTCAGTAGGGAACAGTTACCCATTAATATTCATCAAAAATAAGGCAGATTATTGAAAAATATTAAAGCATTTTCTAGCCAAAAGGCTCAAGATCTTTTTTGTGAAAGACTCTATTTTAAGTTAAAACTCGCTCTTAATGTTTTCATTGTTTTATTACTTGCACATGTGCTAGCACAATGAAAAGGACTCTGTTGGGTTTGAATCAGAGCTAGGCAACACTGGCAATCATGTGTCAAAGTCCTTTTCTTAATGCCATCCTGTTTATCTTTTGCCTCAGAAAGGGCTTATGAGGGATTCAGCACAAGGACAGGAAATCAAGCTCAAAAGCATATTTGATCATCATATTGTTCCGTTCCACTGAACTAACTCCGTGTCACCCTGCATTAGTGTCATGTTATTAGCCATGTTTTTCTCATCTGAAATGAAAGAGAAAAGTGTAATTGTATGCATTCCTTCCCAGTTTATGAATGCAGCCCATGTCAGTCCTGCTTTAATGCAGGGCAATCAAACTTTCAAATGGAATTGAGTACAGGATTGCTGTTTCCTGTCTCATGAACAACACTGCCTGCCAATTAAAGGAAATGACATACAGCTCAGTCTTTAGTAAGATTCCATTTACGTTAATAAGCAGGTAGTCATTTTTGTATGGGAGCTGTTCTATACCCAGTTATGTTTCCTGAATGAAACTTTGGTTTGACCTCATGTACAGTCACAGGGTTAAATGCATCTGTGTTGCTGGGTTGTAGATGGGAGTCACTGCTGTGGATATATGTGGCTTCTCTGTTGCATACTATATTTGAGCTACTTTGAAATTATGTCATTGGTATTTACAGTTGGCATGGGAGAGATTGTGTTGAGCTTGAGCAGTTTGTTCTACAGTACAGTGGACTGTACACAACACACAAGAGACATGAGTTCTGTCCTAAACTCAAAGTGTTGAACAAGAAACAGTGCATCTAAATGAGCCAACATTTTCAGAACTGAATGGGGAACCTAAATGCATTTTTAAACCCCGAGACAAATACGTTGATTGTCAGCTGTTCTGAGCCTTCATTCAAGTAAGAGGACACACAGGTTCTCACAGCTCCAGAAATCCAGCTGTTTGTATTCAGTGGCTTAAGCATGTATTTAGTTGTGTCCCTTTAGACACTCACGTTTAAAAATGTTGGCCCAAGTGCTCAGTGTCTCTTGGATGTACTACAGAGCTGGGAAAGTATTGGTTCTTTAACATAAACGACAACTTTGTCCAATGATGGAGCCAGTATTTTGGTGGTGATATTTCTATTGTGAAGAGAATGAAGCCATGCCTGCTTGTGCATGCATGTGTATGTGCACGCACACACATGTGTATCTTTCTCTTCCTCAGACCTCATTTACTAGTGGAGCATGGATTTCCAATAGCACCATTTTTCTATTCCTGAAGAATGTCTCTGAACTAAATCTGTTATTCATGAGCAGAGAATCTCTCCTGTAACTTATTTTAAAATTCCTGGGAATAAATAAATCAATGTGTGTCTGTTCTATTCTCTAAAATGCTGGCTTTCTGGGTTTACAATGATGGAATCATTATAGGATATGGAACATAGTGTTGCGGGTGTAGAGGAGAATGTGCCAGGCTAATGGGAAAGGAAATTTTTTTCCTTTAAGCAAAGTTTGCCAGGAAATGTGTCAGAGCCTAGACAGCATCCCACTTGGACATATTATGGATTATGTGACATTATCCATGTGGACACAAGTTTTAAGGACTCCCAGTGTGATTGTAAAAGGGACACTCAGAATAAAAATTCCTGAATGTTACATCAAGCAATTGATCACTGTTCAGTGCAGGGGGCAGCAAACTTTAGGCATTTTTTCTTTGGCAAGCACTGTCCTTCAAAGAGATGCAATGTTCTCCAGAGCTCTTCAGTGTGAAACATCCCTTAGTTAGTATATACTTTCCTTCATGTCCTACTGGCCTTGGCCTTGTTTCTCTCCATTCCTTTTGAGGTGGCTGTTAGGTGCTGTTACCAAAGATAGAGTGTGAGGCAGAAATTGGAACAAACTACTATGTGAAAGATGAAAGACTGATGTTGGGGTAGTAATCACAGTGCTTATACATGCACACAGTATGACCTGACCTTAAATGAAATATAAAATTACCTTCTATTATAGTTAAACCCAGAAAACAGAAGCCTAAATGTGACCTAAAAAGAAAGAAGAGGAAATGTATGGCTTTTTCCCCCCTTTCTTTTGCTCCTTTGTGGTGTTTTATGAATGTTTTCCCAGAAAGAAAAAAGCCCTATATGGACATCAGTTGGCTAAGAGTGAACCCATTCACTACAGGCATTGTCATGTGTGTTGTGGGACATGGCACCAGGAGCTTTAATTAGCAAGCTGCAGTAACTAAAAGCACCTATGCATCAGTGTTGCTGCCCATCTCTACACAGAAAAAATATCAGTGGAAGCCAGTGATCCCAATCTTGATTCTGCCCTTGCCTTGAGACTTTATTAAGATGATTGCCCATGACTTTGTCCCTTACTGACCTGCCTGTTTCTAATCTCCAGACTGCAGTTGGGACCCTTTCTTCCCATCCTTGTCACAGAAGAGAGGGCTCTGGTCTGGAATCCCAACCCAGGGAGTGCCAAGATCTGGCAGGCAGGAACCAGGACTTGGGAAAGTAGGAATCAACCAGCAGGAAACAGAAGTCAGAAGCCCAAGGCTAGCAAATGAAAAGCCTCTCTCCTCCAGAGTAGCCTGCAGAGTACTGAAGGAGCTGCTGATTATAAGCAGGCTGCCATGCCCATGTAGGTGACTGGGACCAGCTGGGGGTAAGTGGCCAGGCCTACTTCCATTACCAGGCCCAGCTGGGGTCTAATTATTGTGCTTCTTGTGCTGATTCCTGACACCACCAAGTCTAGGACTGCCTTAGATTTCCAGCTGAATTCTTTTAGAGACAAAGGTTTGTTTCATTTTAAAGGTTTTGTTTAATTTTACAACTGCTTTTATTAGTAAGACTGGCAAGAATATCAATATCACTTAGTAGATAGCAGGTGTAAGGCAGCTTTTTGTTTTCACAGATCTTTGTTTCGGCTTTATTCAGAAGGAAAGAAAATTAGGAGGGGCAAGGAAGGGAAGGGAAGGGAAGGTTTCCCTTTGTATTGAAAATGCTATTTTTGACCAGCTTACTCCTTAAATAAAATAGAGGTTACAATACAAAATGGGGTTTGTCCTACTTTGTTAAAGGATCTGGAAATTCTTTATGAGAAATTTGTGTGTAATTTACCCTATTTTTCTTAAAAGGTGCCATGGATGAGGACTTGTAAAATTATGACATCAGAGACACTATACAACTATATATACTTACATATAACGTAAAAAAATATGTAAAAGCATAATTGTTTTTCTTTCCTATGTTTTATGTCCAGTATGAATAATAGTTACTAAAGCACCTTTAGGACATTTAACAGCTATTTTTACAGGCTTAGTTCTAGTATATGTGATTGTGATTTTAAAGCTCTACAAACAGACACCCTTTTATTATTATTATAAAGTCTATATAGGAAGTCTTGAGAATGCAATTTCATATAATCTGTGTGTGAGCTAAACTAAAGAGGCTTTTGCCTATTGGGAAATCTTCTAAAATATCTTTCATCAGATGGACTGAAGAGAACAATTGCAATTACTTGTAATGAGAACTTTTCCTGACGCAGGGTTGCACAAAAGTCAGGTGTGTTAGCATTTTCCAGTATATAGCCTTGCAGTAAGAAAATAGCATTTCAATGAGTACTATGTGCAACACAGGTTAAAATCATTTTTCTGCTAACACAGAAATATCTTTTTAGGGCCACATGAATGGGAAAATGAATGAATGAAATCCAGGAATTCAGAACCCTCAAAGTAGTGCTATGCAGCAGAATGGAGGTTGTAGAATGATTCTGATTACAATGCAGGTTTCCAGAGGAGTAAATGAGCCTAGTGTTGAACAGATAATGACAGTGATAGTCTCTTTGTAATTATACCAATACAGCTAACTGCAAAAGATCTAATAATAGCAATGGCTACTCCCCTGGCCACTGTTCTGCTCAGTGTGCCTCTCTGTGCACTCATTATGAACCTCTGATCCTCACTCCTATCCCTGTTTTTTTTTTCATGTTATCCCAAATAATCATTGATATGCCCTTAGTGGCCCCCATCACCAAGGAGGGCTTATAGCTCTACCTGGTGGGCTTTGGCCCACCACCCCGAATGGCATATCAAAAGGCTTCTCTCTTACAGTGACCAGCACCATCTGCTTTAGAAGGTCTAAGAAACATTGAAGTAGGCGTATATGGGAATATCTGCTCCCCGTTAAGTTCCTCATGCACATTTAAAACCTGAAACATGGGCTGTTATCTTCTTTCTAATACCTTTTGTCAGCATTGCTGCTGTGTGGGATACTCTTGCAATCTATGCAAATATCATACCCCTCTTTGTGTCTTACTGAATTCCTGGCCTCAGTGATGTCCAGTTGAAGGGAATTGGGGACATTCAACAAAACAGAATGGTGGTAAATGCAAAATGCATTCAAGAAAACCCATTTCCATGCAATACAGAATTATGCTGTTCATGTTCTTGGGTTAGAAGACATAACAGAAGCTCCCAACCTACTCTCCTTGACTTGGGCATTATGTTATACATTTCGATTATGTCCCCTCTCCTTTGTTTCCTTTCTGCGGTAAACATTGCCTTTCTTGTAACCTTCTCTTTACATGACAGATTCCCCATTCCTGAACCATCTTTACTGTCCTTGGAACCTCTTCCAATGATGCAATATCCTTTCTGGCTTGGAGTAACGGAGACTGCATACAGTGTTCATATTCTGTGTGGACAAATGCTTCCATGCACCTGAACTTTACTGCCCAGGGGGTGATCCTGGCACCAAGCCAACTCCCCTTTGCATCCCTGGGGTGTACTCAACCCTGTGCAAACAGCCTGCAGAGCACATACCAGGTAGCCAGGTCACAGGGCATGGACAGGTCCAGGAGTGGCGTCTAGGTGGGTGGGGGGCAAAAACAAGATAGGGGTCTGGATTGGTTCCCTGTGACCTGGGGCTTCCTTCCTAGGGCAGGGGCAGTACCTTCCCCAAAAGTGCCTTCCTTCACTGTTCCCACAACCCAGTCACCAGGAAGCACAACCAGTAGCCTTTGCATCCTATTCGCAAATCCCAAGTTATTAAAATATGAGACTTTCTTTAATGTACTTCTTTATTTTTTTTAATTCTTTTTCTTTTTGTACTTCTTTGTATTGTATCCTTCAGTGGCTGGCTGACATCGTTTCACCACCCTTCCCCCACTCCCATTTCCTTTCCACCTCCCATTTCATTACACACCCCCATCCCATTAACTCTCTGCCTCCCAACTTTATGTCCCGTCCCCCCCCACCTGTCTCATACCCCTCACCTAGAGCAGGGATGGAAGCCTGTCCCAACTCATCATCCCTCTAGTGGCAACTCAGAGCTGTGGCTCCTAGTCAGGCCCCTGCTCCCAGCTCTCTGTGTACATCTGTGCAGGTGAGGGACTATCGGAGAAGGTGTTTAGCCTTAAGATGTGACTGCTCCAAACTCAAGCTAGCACTAACATCGATCAACATTTGAGCACCTTAAAGTGCAACATGTAGCAAGGCCCTAAAGGTCTTGTTGTTATGCATGGCCAGGTGGACCCAGATGCAGAAGAAAGATTTCTTGTAAGAATCTTAAACCCTGGATGGTCCACAAACCATATAAGAGCCCTGAAATATAAAGTAGATTAGAATTAGAGCTCTTTTCCTCTGAGAGTACTGAAGCTGAAAGACTCTGAAAAATGTGATTTGCCGATTCCCATTGATTTGTTTACTTTCTGCCTTTCACTCGACTTAGGCAATAGAATTTAACAGGCCTGTCTTAAAAAAAAAAAAAAAAAAAAAAGTATTGGGTAGCACACATTTTCCAACAGTGTGAGCCTGACTTGGACTATGTCCCTTTAATAAATATGAATAACAGCAGGGGCTTCCATTGTTCTGCTGATGCTTGCCTGTCCAAAGAGATGATTACATTGTGCACAATGCAGGAAGTATGTATTTAATATTTCTTAGCAGGGACTATTGAAATACAAGCACTTATGTCTGACGCAGGTGGCTTTAAACCTTGGGCCTTCTGCTCTGTTGATTTTGATGCTTTGCCCCTGGAGCTCTGCCAGTTGAGTGATATGAGCTGGGGCACTGTGCTGTTTTCCTCTGTGATGGCTGCTGGTGGGATTCCTGAAGTTCATCCAGTCCAGATGGGCCCTTTGCACAAACTGTCATCAAGGAGGAAGTGTGGGTGGTGATGAAACATGTTTGTTGAGCAGGTTGGCTGGCTTGCTTTCTCCTGGGTGGTCAGTGCTTAACCCATGGCTAAAAAACTACTGGGATTATGAACAGGGTTAGAAGGTTTTTATAAACAGTGGAGCATTTTAGTGTTGTGAACCTGGTTGGAAGTTTTGTACTACTGGCTAACTGGCTGAAGCTTTGTGCTAAGGCATTTTGTTCCATTAGTTAATGATAAATCAGCCTCAGAAGCCAGAAGGTTTGCTGTAGGTGGGATTGGATGTTTATTTGAACACCTGAACCATTGTGAGTCTCTGCAGTTGTCTGTGTCTTCAAAACAGAGCCTCTTATTATAGCAGGTGTTTTCTGGGAAAGCCTTGGGGCTTGCCTGAGTAATGATTTTCTTCTGGATGGGACACCATGTCCTCCAAAACTGAGAAGCAATCACTTAAAGCCCTACTTTAAGACAATAGACAATATTTGCAGGACTGACAGAGATGATGCTTCAGTGCCTTCCCTTCACCACCAATAAAGGCTGTAACCACCTCCCTGTGTTGTCAGCAGGCATTGGATAGAGCTAACACCATGTGCAGATCATCTGCGTTCTGGGAGTTCCCTGTTAAGGGCTCAGCAAACTGAGTGGAGACCACAGAGCACAAAGCATGTAAGTGTGGTGGGAGTGGGACCCCGAAGAAAAAAATGCTGAACTAGCCACCAGAGAGAATGGCTTCCTATTGGTGAAAGAGTATATAAACAAGCTGTCCTGATTCACAAAAAGACTCTTTTTCTATAAGCTGGATATTATTGGCTCAAACAGGATCTCCAGCTAGGTGAGGTCTCCAAAATCATTGTATTTGTGTCTTAAGACTAATTTCAATATTGGCCTTAAACCATTCTGTTACCAAGAAACCACTGAAAGACCCTTTGAAAAAAGAAAAAAAGAACACAGAAGCCCATTCATAATAGCAGAGGATGTATGTGTGATAACCATGGTATATTTGGCTACTTGACCAAAATCTGTGTTACTTAAGATCCAGTTTCCCCTTCCCCAACTCTGCCACAGCATTAGTTAGATATAGCAATGAATTTCACTCATTTTTCTTAAACTTGTAGAAACAGTGAGGAGAACTGGCACGCTTTATCTCTGATTGAATGCTGACTGAAAGAGTGCATCTGCCTTTTATTACTAGTAAACTGATGCCTATCTTGGCATTTATAATAGAGCCTGTAGTATCTGAGCATAGCCTTCAATGCTTATTTGGCTATTCCAACTACCGGAGCATTTAGTAAAATCTGACATAGGTCCAGAGCTACTACTGGATGCAAAAATAGCTGGCAGGACCAAGAAGGTATTTTTCTATCTGAATTTTCTGAAGTACAACCCTTCCTGTTCAACAAAGACCTATCTGTTCTTATCCCTGCCTTTGTCATCTCAAGATTAGACCACTGCAATGTGCCATACATATGGTTACATCTTGAGACCATCTGGTGCACCAGCTGATTCACAGCATAGCTGCCTGCTTGGGAGGTAAGCATCATGCAGGGAGACGTTCCACCAGCAATATGGGGGCTGCCAGGGAGTTTCCAGCTAGAGGGGCACTCTCCATTGACCATATTTGAACAATCAGAAAAGGTGCTAAATCTGGACCCTTAATTAAGGCAAAGTGTTCTCTTTAATGGCCACATGACCCCGGAATTGTCTACTCATTTGTGCTGGCATGAAACCTTTTGGGTACAGTGTAAGTTTCCTGTTTTATCCCAAGATAACCCATATGTTCAGTGGAAGCTGTCTCAATAACTGTTCACTTAGAATCTATTACCTAGGAGATGTGCCAAATATCCTGCCTTTTTGTTTCCAAACTGAAGGGATCCAGAATTTTAAACACTGGGTTAGTTTATTTTCAGATTCTATTATATGAGCTGATAGTGGACAAAAATGTTTCAGCCACACACTTGCATTAACATGTGTATTTTAGTGTATAGATACATTTTGTAAGGAGAGGGGAAAAATCAATAGCAGTCAGTCATCTAAACCAGCCTGAAAAATCCAGAACACCATGTTGTAACTCAAGCATAACTACGTGTCTTGTATACATAGGATCTGCTATAATTACTGTTCTGATTTTTTTGCCAGGACATTCCACATGCCATCATTAAGTCGAAGTCCCCCACTAAGCAGAAGGTACTGTCTTGTGTGCCGTTGCAAGTACACTGAATCTCTGTGAAAGCATGAACAGGATACTGGAGTCACAGGGCAGTGTTGGCTGTGAATCACTCTTTTATCCTTCAGCTGAACTGCTCCAGTGTTCTGTCTTCATTAATAATTAATACTGAGGGGAAGCGGCGCTCGTTTAGCATTGTCTTCTGTGACAGTGAAAGTGGAAAGAATGTTTTTCAGATCTTCACAGCCTCCTTTGTTCCACGGCCCTTGAAAGGGGGGGTTATGTCTTCTACACTTCTGAACAAAATCTCTGGGTTCGCTTTTGATACTGGGAGTAGTATTATACGTGAAATACAGCGACATCCAAGGTGAAGTAAAGGTTCCTGAAGATGAAGCAACAAAGGGACTAACAGGAATCATGATCTTGAGCTGGAGTAAGGTTTTTTAGAATCAGGGACTAGGAATCAGGATACCTGGCCTGCGTCACAGACTCTGAGGGTTTTTCAGCTAATGATGTTTATAAAGCACTTTGAAATCTGTGAATGGAATGAGCTACATCAATTGAAAATACTGAAAGGTGCCTGATCCTGAGGGACTCTTTCAAGTTTAATCTGCAGTCCTGTCTAGAAAGAACTTGAGGGGAAAAGTTAGGCTTCAGGCCATGCCATGGTGGAGATATTCCAACAACACAAACACCATATGGAAACGTTCAGAGCACAGAACACCACTGGCCTGCCCACATATGGGAGAGCCATGCACCAATGAGGACCTTGCTAAGGCTACAAATTGAGCAATAGTATGTACCCATTTCTGGCCCCAAAGTTGAACATGGTGACAGGACACAATAACAAGAAAGAAGAATCCTGGAAGGACCAAGGGCCCAGTTCAGAAAAGCAGGCAGTGTAAGGGGTCTATGGAGGGAACTAGCTGTGGGTAGAAAACTGAGTAGGTGGTAAGCTGGAAGAAAATGAGAAGGAAGCTGAATGACAAACTAGGGCCTGGATGGGAAAGCCAGGGACAGGAAAGAAAAGCCGGCAAGTCAGAGACATGAAGCAGCTGCCATAATGATATTGCTGTTACCGATAAACCGTTGAAGAACAGAGACATAAACATCCTTCTTAGATCTCATATTCATAAGAGCATGAAAATAAAAAAGGTCATGAAAGTCATGGTCCTCCCCCTTCTCGAATGCCACAAAATGAAAGTATCTGTGCTTAAGATATTTCTGTGTTGAGCCTGTGTTCTTTGCTTTGCTGCCACAACCCTGAAGTGGTTAAAAAAGACACCTCGAATGCCAACAGCTTATTTGGAACTGGGAGAGCGTGTACACGAGGCTGTGGCAAGGCAAGGACTCAGCAAGTCTGAGACAAGGATCTTGGGACCAAGCAGTACATGTCCCAAATAAGAGGACTGATGCCCTTCTAACCCCAGAGCTAGAAACAATGGCAAGACTCCATCCCTGCCCAATTTGCTTAAAAGCCTGTTGGACTCAGCAACTGTATCCCCTTGCAGCAGCCTGGTGACCACAATGCATTGTATGGGGCCATGTTGTAAAAAACATGTCTTCTGTTTAGCCTAGGGCAGCACTGCAGAAAGTTTCTGCGGCAGCTGGAATTCAAGCCTCTGGAGAAAAATTGTAAGTGAAAGCCTGCATCAGATATGTAGGCACAGTTTCTACCTGTTTCAGTGGGGGTTGTGACTAGCTATCAGAAGGCAGGATTAGACCCCATGACACCTCAATTAAGTCACACCCACACGTGCTCGCCTTGTCCTTCTAGCTGTTTTCATTGGCAGATATTTATACCCCAGCTGCAACAGACAGAAAGCAGAAAACTAGGACACTGCCCTATTTTTCATGCTGATAAAATAGTGCAATTTCAAAAGCATTTCTCCATCTTCCCTCTTGTGTTCAAGGTTTATGTTGCTCCATATAGTTTGAAGGTGAAACAGGTTTGATAGGAGCTTGTAATGTCATTCCTTGTCTTCATTTGTTTTCACATAGTTTGGCTTTAGTTTAGTGTGACTGGCAGCAACTGATCAAACAAGACAGCCAAGGCAGGACTAGCCGGTGCTACACAATAAGCATGCACACACTTTTGGACCTCTCTCATTTAAGTGGGCAACACCCACCACATGCATGGTTATAAGTGGGATTGTGTATATGCATTAACTAGGTTTCCTAGGGCTTTTTGAGCCTGAAGTGGGCATGAAGATGGGTGAAATGTTTTATCTCAGTGCTTTGAAATCCCTGTAAACTCCAAGTTTTTGTTCTGTGTTTTCATTTTCTTTCATAAGCAATTATAATCCCCTTTTCCTCTTACTTGTTAGGCATTGTGCCATGAAGGGTTACATCTTAAGGTGTTTCAGGACAGGCTGGACATAGAAATATCTCTGTCACCACTTCTATCTGTCACAACCCAAGGGTGTGATTTTTTATCTGATCTAGGTCAGCAAGCTTGTGTTAGGGAGCTGATTGGCATAGCTTGCCATCGAAATCAAAATTTCCTATAATTTCTATTATGTTTTTCTAAAGAAAAATGTCCTCTCCCTGCCCCCCCCCCCCTTGTGAAGAGGAATCTGCATAGAATAAAAAAGGCTTTCTGGACATGCACGTTGGTCTATATCAGATGTTTTGCTGAACCATGAGTCATACAATGCCCTGGCGAGCTGGATGAGTGATCTTTGCCATTTTGGCAGTTTCCCATTCATGTCAGCATTAGAAAACAGCATGACATTTTCAACTGTGTCTAATTAAGTGTTGGGAGATCTTCCAGGATCATTACTAATTGAGAAGGATGCCACCCAGCTGTGACCCTTCTACTAGCTCAAACTTGCTGATCCCCCACCGGGACTCAGCCTGCAGAGGAGATTCATTTTACAGGGAGATACCTCTTTGAGCCAGGAAAGGCCCTGTTGGTTTTGTTTTTGTTTTCAGGAGAATAGCAGCATTCAGTGATGAAACTCAGGCTTTTTCTGCTTCTGGGTATTCTACATTTGGAATCCAAGAAAAAGACTACTGTGACAATTTATCCATCCTGGCTTTAGGCCTGCTTGCTGCCCTGCACTTACTTTTCTAGTCACATAGTTTCATAGTAGCTAGGGTCAGGAGGGACCTGAACAGATCATCTAGCCTGACCCCCTGCCACAGGCAGGAATGAATGCTGGGTTCACAAGACCCCAGACAGGTGATCGTCCAACCTCCTCTTGAATATGCCCAAGGTAGGGGCGAGGACCACTTCCCTAGGAAGTTGGTTCCAGATTCTGGCCACCCTAACTGTAAAATATTGCCTTCTGATCTGTAACCTAAACCTATTCTCCATCAGCTTATTACCATTGTTCCTCATTACCCCAGGTGGTGCTGGGGAGAAAAGGGATCTTCCTATTTGCTGATGATCTTCCCTGATGAGTTTGTAGGCAGCCACCAGGTCTCCCCTCAGCCTCCTCTTGCTGAGGCTGAACAGGTTCAAGTCCCTCAGTCTCTCCTCGTAAGGCCTGTCCTGCTGCCCTCTTACCAAGCGGGTGGCCCTCCTCTGAACCCTCTCCAGGCTGGCCACATCCCTTTTGAAGTGCAGCGCCCAGTACTGGACACAGTACTCCAACTGTGGCCTGACCAAAGTCGCATAGAGGGGGAGTATCACCTCTCTGGACCAGCTTGAGATGCACCTTTGGATGCATGACAAGGTATGGCTGGCCTTGCTGGCGGCGGTCTGGCATTGACAGCTCATGTTCATCTTGGAGTCAATCATGACTCCAAGATCCCTTTCCGCCTCTGTGCTTTCAAGAGGGGAACTCCCCAGCCTGTATGTATGCTGTGGATTCCTTCTCCCAAGGTGCAGCACCCTGTACTTGTCTACATTGAACCCCATCCTATTCTCATCTGCCCACTTTTGTAGTCTGTTTAAATCTAGTTGCAGCCTCTCTCTCCCTTCAAGTGTGCCCACCTCACCCCACATCTTAGTATCATCAGCAAACTTGGACAATGTGCTTTCCTACCCCTCGTCCAAGTCACTGATGAAGATGTTAAACAGTGCATGCCCAAGGACTGAGCCCTGCGGTACCCCACTGCTCACATCTCGCCAGGCTGAGTATGACCCATCTACCATTAATCTCTGGGTGCACCCCATCAGCCAGTTTTTTACCCATCCAACTGTGTAGGCATCGATGCCACAGTCGCTTAATTTATTGATGAGGATGGGGTGAGAGACAGTGTCAAAGGCCTTCCTAAAGTCTAGAAAGACTACGTCCATGGCGACACCATCATCCAAAGATTTAGTTACCTGGTCATAAAAGGCAATCAGTTTGGTCAGGCAGCACCTGCCTTTGATGAATCCATGCTGATTACCCCTGAGCATGATCTCCCCTGCAGGCCCCCCACAGATGTGCTCCTTGATGATTTTCTACAAGATCTTCCCAAGGACCGAGGTGAGGCTTACGGGCCTATAGTTGCTTGTACACCAGTCTGGGCTGAGTAAGGCTTTACAGTGAGGACAATCCACTTGTGCTCAACTATTCCACGGTAAAGATGTAATCTTCCAGGGCCAGCTCCAGCCACACTATGACATTGACTGAAAAAAATGGCAATGGCCTTCCAAGAGCAGTGCAAACTGTAATGCAGTTTAAAGGGTTTGAGAGGTAGCTTTTTATGGCAAGTGGTTGGTTCTGAAGTCAGAAAGTTAAAAACAGCAGAACAACAGTTTGTGGAGTGATATCCAGTTAAATGGCAGAAGGAAAGAAGGAATCCTGGAACCAGTATGTTTCCTGCTGTTTCCATGCCAAAGAGAAGATCAGTTTGTCTGTTGTATTTTAGGTATTTATTTCTTTTTAATCATAGCAGAACTAGGGAGTAGTGAGGTGCTTGCATAATAGGTCCTGTCCTAGGGGAGGAACCAGGACATCTCCCCCACTGGGATGCTGGACGGATTGAGGAGAGGCACCACCAGGCCTAGGGTCAGGGAGGACCTAGTTAGGGAACTTCTGGTGGGGCTGGACATGTTTAAATCAGCGGGTCCAGATGATCTCCACCCCAGGGTGCTGTGGGAATTGGCAGGGGTCATTGCGGGACCCCTGGTACAGCTTTACAAGCACTTGTGGTGCTCTGGCCAGGTGCCAGAGGACTGGAAATGGGCCAATGTGGTCCCCATTTTCAGAAAAGGGAGGAAGGAAGACCCATGTAACCATAGGCCCGTTAGTCTTACCTGGGGAAGCTCTTTGAGAAAATTATCCAGGAGCACATCTGCGAGGTACCAGCAGGGGAAATTATGCTCAGGGGCAACCAACATGGGTTCATTTGGGGCATGTCCTGTCAGACCAACCTGGTTGCCTTTTATGACTAGGTCACAAAATCCTTGGACATGGGTGTCACGGTGGACATAGTCTTTCTGGACTTTAGGAAGGCCTTCGACACTGTATCTCACCCCATTCTCATTAAAAAATTAGGCGACTGTGGTGTTGATGCCTATGCAGTCAGACGGGTGGCAAATTGGCTGCAGGGCCACACCCAGAGAGTGGTGGTGGATGGGTCATTTTCAACCTGGAGGGATGTGGGCAGTGGAGTCCCCCAGGGCTCAGTCCTCAGGCCTGTACTGTTCAACATCTTTATCAGCGACTTGGATGAGGGGGTGAAAAGCACCTTGTTCAAATTTGCAGATGACACTAAGATGTGGGGAGAGGTGGGCACGCTAGAAGGGAGGGACAGGCTACAGGGAGATCTGGACAGGTTACAGGGGTGGGTGGATGAGAATAGAATGGGATTCGACGCTGACAAGTGCAGGGTACTGCACCTGGGGAGGAAGAACCAGCAGCATACCTACGGCCTGGGGAACTCCCTTCTCATCAGCACAGTCAGAAAAGGATCTTGCAGTCATTATTGATTCCAAGAAGAACATGGGCTGCCAATGTGAGAACACAGTCAGTAAGGCTAACCGCAACTTGTCATGCATCCACAGATGCATCACAAGCAGGTCCAAGGAGGTGATCCTCTCCCTCTATGCGACATTGGTCAGGCCACAGTTGGAGTATTGCGTCCGGTTCTGGGCACCACACTTCAGGAGGGATGTGTATAGCATTGAGAGGGTCTGGAGGAGAGCCACTCGCACGGTTGGGGGCAGCAGAGCAGGCCCTACGAAGAGAGGCTACAGGATCTGAACGTGTTCAGCCTCCACAAGAAAAGGCTGAGAGGGGATCTGGTGGCCATCTATAAACTTGCCAGGGGGGACCAGCAGGGAATGGGAGAGTCCCTGTTCCCCCGAGCACTACCAGGAGTAACTAGGAATAACAGCCACAAGTTGATTGAGGGTAGATTCAGGCTAGACATCAGGAAGTACTCCTTCACAGCCCGGGCGGCTAGGATCTGGAACCAACTGCCAAGGGAAGTGGTGCTCGCTACTACCCTGGGGCTCTTCAAAAGGAGGCTAGATAATCACCTGGCTGGGGTCATTTGATTCCAGCATTCTTTCCTGCCATGGCAGGGGGTCGGACTTGATGACCTGCTCAGGTCCCTTCTGACCCTACCAACTATGAACTACTATGAACATGAAAG